CATACGCGAGTGTATACGTGTATGATCTAAACGTAACTGCATACTAAACTATAAATATACATACGTATATACGTACACACAGAGTAAAGGGGGACATGGTAAGCGAGGTATTATGAAGCTTGGAATCGAAATAGCGCGCGAAAGCACCTAATACTAGTACGTACTTGATGTCAAAGGCGTAATAACTTGGAAGTACTTGACATTCGTGAATGTGCAACGATCGACATATATGTATGTGAAAGATAGAGAAAGAGAGAAATATATAGACGGAGAGAGGGACGTATAGAAAGGGTCAGAGGTGGTGAAAGCAGGCTTTACGTACACGTGTCTCCGGTTATGTTGCAATTATATGCCATGCATGCATGCATGCATCCAGCTAGCAAACGCGTGCATCTTCCATCTCTGTCTCTCTTGTTTCCTTTCGTGACACGACTTATTGCAAAGTCGGTGTATGAAAACGTCACATGTTAAAATGTCGCCGTAAGAGCTTGTGCCTTGGCTTGACCGATTACATTCATGTATATATATATATATATATATACATGTACATACGTATTCGTGTTTGTATCGGAGAGATGAGAGAGAGAGAGAGAGAGAGAGAGAGAGAGAGAGAGAGAGAGATGAAAGTGTACGAAAGAGAGGGGGTTGGACGGGTGCACGCATGCGTATTAAATTGAAGTTGAAATTCAATGGATATTGCATTTTGTCATGGACGTGGTATAGCTAATAAACTTCTGTTAACGTAACATTATTTTCCATCGTGCTTACTCATTCATTCGCATTGAATAATTTTTTTTTTGATTATTTTCCTTTTTTTCTTCGTACACGTATATATATGCGTATGTGTATATACGAACGAAGGGAGGAGAGCTACAGACCGATCGTTAAAATTTTGTTTGTAGCTTTTATTCGTTAGAAATAATAATTCTATTAGCTACTTTGATGATTTTATAATCGTTTTGTTTAATTGCGTATTTATATTTAAAAACGATTTTTTGTCTGCGCGCGTTTTACTTGGGCTGCCATCAAAATCATTTTCGGTATTTTATATTTCATATCCAAACGAATAAAATAATGTGTGTGTGTGTGTATATATATATATATATATATATACATATTCCCGGAGGAAGAGAAACTCTTAGGAAAATAATAACGATTCAGTTTTCTCGTCGTTCTCGTCATCTTGAATTCGTCCTAATCCAAACTCCTCGACGATCGGGATTGCTGACGCGGATTTTCTACGCGGAGGAAAGATATCGTCTATTCCTCAGCTATGCTCGTTACACAATGATCCTGTGGACTAGTTTACTATATATCTATCCCATATTATTATTCAATGCGAGTATCTAGTAAAATAAAGCGAGGGATAAGGATAGAGAGAGAGAGAGAGAGAGAGAGAGAGAGAGAAGGAGACTTATTCGTAAGGATGATTTTCTTTGCACGACACGAACAAGTCCTTCGGTGTTACTTCCGACTACGGTCCTCGATAATTGGTAGTCGTTCCACTTGTTCTTCTTCTTCTTCTTCTTACTCGTCTTCATGCTCTTCTACACTCTTTCCAATGGAATTTGTCGAACGGTACTTTTCACCATTTCTTTTTCTTCTTTTTTTGGGTGCTGCTATGCACTAACAACTGCAGTAACGATGACGTAACTAACTTAATTTGCACCAACTTTGAGAACATACACATACATCTGTATGTGTATGTGCGCTTGTATATTATTATTATTATTATTATTATTATTATTATTATTATTATTTATATTAGTTAATTGTTGGAGTTTGAAATAAATGAATATTGTAATTAATTTATCATATTGCATTATATGATGAATCGTATTATTAATTAGAGTATATTAATGCAACATATTAATTAACGTACCATAGTAATTCATTGCATAATATAGATGGTTATATCGTTAAAATTGCCTGATTAAAGTAAAAAAAAATAAAAAAGAATAACAAAAAAATATATATAAATTAAATTTCATCAAGAAAAATGTTTGGCACTTTTTACCATATGTCGGTAATTGTTATGTTGATAGTACAGTTTTCGTATTATCGATAAAAATGTCCTTTAGTTGGATGCAAAATAAGCTTATAACATAATATAAGATTTAAATTTATGTAAAATGTGTTCATACATACATACATACACACACGTATACTTGATTCGCTTATTGCATAAATATAAATTTTTTTTTGTTGCAACATATGGACAATGCGGAACAAAGGATGACATTTATAGGAACGATTGCATTGAACTTGACGTTCGTTACGTTCGAGATCGATCCATTAAGAACGATCAAGGAAAACTTGGAAAACCAGTTTTTCCACTAGGCACGTATAGTGCGTGTTTGTGCGTGTGTACATGTACGTACTTGTAGCACCAAAGGTAGTAGGTTTGCATTTCAGAAAAATAATGGAAAAATATGGAGAGACAGGTAACATGCAACTTGCACATGTATATACATATTTATACATATACCTCAATAAAATAATATTTTCCGGTTAATATTTTTTATATGAAAATTAGTTAAAAAGAGAAAATTATTGTTATATATCACATTTATCTTGTATATGTATATATTCTATATGTATATTGTCGGTTAATATATTGTAGTAAAATCATTTTTGATGACCTTATCGATATTTGGCGAATCTTTATTTTCTATTAAATATAATGAAACTTTAATAAGCTTTATCTTTCGTATAAATTGACACCAAAATCCTTATCAACATTTAATTATTTCGAAAAGAACCGAGAGATCAAATAGGATTGGCCGCGTCTGAAAAATCTAAATCCAGGGATTTTACTTTTCTTTTATTAGACACACACATACGCGCGCGCGCGCGCGCACACACACACACATATCGTGTAATAAAGAACATTGAAAAAGTTGCATTTCATATACCGTTACTATTATCATTACTATTGTTATTATTATCATTCTCTCCTTGGCAAGATAAGTTATTACAACTACTCGTCCTTCGAATCCCTTATATTATAATACATAGACGTATACAAGAAAAATCGTCATATCCATAACAATTTTCTATATTCGATTGATAAAAGCTTTTCTACCATCGAGAGACGGCAAACGTAGGAGAAGAGGAGACGGAGGTGGAAAGTTTGGGGAAAATATTGAATTGACGATAAATAGAACGGAGAAAATATATCCGTTCTCTATAAGACCGATAAGAACTTTTCTTTCTTTCGTTTATTTCATGACGACAATGTTCAATTCGATTTCCAAATTCCCTTCTCTTTTTCGTAAGACAGAGAAAGATCCACACATAAAATATATATATATGTATGATATATATATATATATATATATATATATATATATATATATATGTACGAGTAAGATAAAGAGAAATTAATTAATTAATTAAATAATAGATTGATTCATTTATGTATTTAAAAATCGAATTAAAGAGCAAAGAGGGAGGATGGATAATAGCAACATAAATTTAATGTCGTAGTTATAACAACATCATTTTCTGTGTTCTGGAATGCGAAGAAAATTTAATTAAATCTTTTTTGTCTTTCTGTCTCTCTCTCTCTCTCTCTCTCTCTCTCTCTCCCTCTCTCTCTTACATACATGTTTCAAGCACGTTCAACAAATATTTTTACGAATAATGCCACGAACCATGGCGGTACGTGGTTTTACAGAAACACGATATTAACGTGGCCAGTAATTTTCACAAGAAAATACGTTTCTTCTCTCGTCTTCCTACCCGCCGAAAAAAAAGTGTCATATATATATATATATATATATATGTATACACGTCCACAGGGTGGGCCAAAAGTTTCTAGGTGATTTAAAAAATCAGTCCCTTTTTACGAAACCTCTTAGAGGAATTTCCGTTTCGGATCGTTAAACTACAAGTCCCGCAAAATGGAGTCAATTTGAAATTACTACAATCACCTAGGAACTTTTGCTCCTAATCGAGTATATATATAGTATATAGATATAGATGTGAATTTGATTACTTATACGTACTAATAATATGTATATGTATTTATTTTTGAGAGGATCGAGTTATATGTTTGCAGTAGGGCATTCACTTTGTTGGTTGTCGGCATGCATCACTGACCATGTTCAACGTCCTACGGAAATCCTAATTACTGCATTTAATCCAGGCTCACTTGATTATCATACTTAAAAGGTTTGTTACGTGAACGTAACGTATTTTCGTTGGGATCAATAAGATTCCAATTTATAGGGGAAAATTAAAAAGAAATTTAAAAAAATTATTGAAGTTTATATAAGATATAATGTTTGACTATCAACTCTTTCTTTCTTTCTTTATAATTTCGTTCATTTCGTAAGTATTAAATTTGGAGAATAGATTGGAAATGACAAACTTGAATCGCTGTAGGTGCGTCTTTTCCTTTCGTTCTTTTTTTGTTTTCTCATATCGCTTTGAAACATTTTCATAGGACTCGCGAGAGAGCAAGTTCGAAGTATCTTTTCACTTGGAAACATTGAAGAGCACTCGTGTCCGGAAAGATACTTTTCATGGTACGTTATCGAAAGTCGTAAAAGCTCTGAGAATCTCAGAGCTTTTCCATGATTCTGGATAGTAGGAATGGCAGTAATGTATTTATCGTGCTGGTGACCATCAGTTTCGTTGGAGTATGCCACGTCGAATTTCTAACCGGTCAAAGAAACTTATGCGACTGCACTCCCATCCCCTGCTAACAAATACGAGCCATTTATCTGTACGTGTGCACGTACAGAGTGGCCCGTATCATTCATAAACGGATACGGTTTTGTTTATCAAAAATTGTCAAAATTAAATAAATTTCTTTTTTATTCGATAATTGATATATCGAAATATTGTCATCTTATTATTTTATAAAATGTTGCAAATTATATTGATCACTCGGTATATCAGTGTAAATGACATAAGTGACCAAGATTGCCAAAATTTGTTTGTAAGTTTGATTATTTTATAAGATCTTTTCATTAAAATATATTTATTTGCAGATAGAAACGAGTCACCCTGTATACGAGGATGCACTCGGTAAACGTTATTTAAATGCAAAAGCGAAGTGGCGAGTTACTTGGAACGAAATTGAGGTAGTATTTGAGGTTAACTAGCTTTACGGTGGAGAAATGGACGGTCAGCATCTTTAACGAGATCACTCGGCTCTTCTGTACGTATAATTGGAGTCGTGTTATTTATTTATCATTTTTTCTTCGTTTTTGCTTTTTTTTTATTTCTTTTTTTTGTTTTTTTTTTTTTTTTTTTTTTTTTTTTTTTTTATATTTTTATATCGAACGAACGAACGAACGAACGAACGAACGAACGAGAACGTTTTTCTAACGGAAAATGCCAAGCTAATTATCGACCATGCAAAGCGTTTGGGAAACGAAGTCACGCGAATTCAACATGGACGACGATGGACGACGCAGTGGAAGCTCGTTGGTTGATTCGACTCGACTTCCTGACAACTCATGCATCCGGCATAGCAGCATGTGTTGAAAGTCATATAACGGTACGACAAATGTCGTGAATCGAATCCAAATACGTTATATACGTAAGTAGCTTGCTCTTCTACCATAAAAAATTGATGGGCAAATTTTCTTTTTCTCTTCTTTCCACCAAAAATTGGAACTTGTTTATCGACGTAGGAGTCGAACGTACGATTCATTTAAATATTATATTGAAAAAGTATTAACAATATCATAAATTATATACTTGTAATATACGTGATAAATACAACAAGAAAATATTGTCAATGCTTTTTGTTTGCGTACATATCTGTCTTCATTTGCATTTGAATTTTGCCTGTATATGTGCGCGCGAAAGAGAGAGATGGTGCGAGAAAGCTATTCGACGAGTAAAAGCATTTCGTATGAGAAAACTTTTGGATCCATTTGTGGATTTATGTGTGAGTATTATGCGTGGGTCTACGTATGAACTATATCAATCGATGTGAATACCCGTTAATATGTGTATAAGTTGGTGTGAATATATGAATGAAAAGGGTTTTGCTTATTGAACGATGACGAAATATTAATGGACATTTGCCTCTTCGGTAGAACTTTTTAAAGAGGTTATGAATCCAAGACGAGGCCAAGTCGAAAAATTTATTTCATTTTCTTCGTTTCCTCTTGTACGTATATATATATATATATATATATATATATATATATATATATATATATATACATAAATGTGCGTGCGTGCGTGTGAGACTGCCTGTACATATGTGTGTGTGTGTGTGTGTGTATTTTATCTCGGAGCTCGTGGAAGTCGTGAGAAAGGAAAAGAATTTTATAATTGGACGCCGAGGGCCACTCTCTTTTTCTTTCTCTTTTACTTGCTGTCGGTTTCGAAGTTTTCGAGACCCGCCATTCGAAAAAGTTAAAAGAAAAGTTTCAGCGAATTCAAAGATGGGGGTCTCGTACTTAAGACGGCCTTACAAACCCGTCGACCGTTTCAATTTCGTTTTCTTTAGGAACCATGAAGCCTCTCTCTTCTCGCCAGAGAATTTTTCTTGTCTTTCCTTCTTTCTGTTTCGTCCTTTTTTAATTTTTCGCTTTGACATTACTAATAATTATTTGTCAAATATAATATTACAATCGATAATAGGTAGAAAAAAAATCTCTTTAATTTGCCTTATCATATCGATCACTTTTTCACGGTTCTTTTTTTCCTTATTTTAGAAGGGGAAAAGGAAGTTACGTGTATATCGAGCGATGAACGTAACGAACCGAGTAAGCCAGACTACAAGACCATACGGAAAAAGGTTTTCTACCCTCGAAAAGTTTCATTTATCACGAGAAGGAGGAGACGAAGACGAAGAGAAGGATGAGAAGCATAAGAAGCAGAAGATATCCTCTTTCTCCTCGAGCAGTAAGAACTCGAGCAGTACCGTTCATATTAGTCCGAGGGAAAAAATTCAATCTAAATGGGAACGATTGGCACACGTACGATAAACAGAGCGTGATTGACGTACGTGATTCCAGTTCCTTCTATATCCCTCTGGCCATTTCTGGGGACCACCAATACATTCAAACGCCGAGAGAAAAACGGAATTGTTAGCATTATCCTGTTTATTTATTTCCCTAGATCTATCACAAAAAAGTTGTATCACAATTTCATTTAGTTTTCTAATTATTTTTAGGCGCAAGAAAGTACGATGTATGAAAAAATAATATATATATATATATATATATGTGCACACGCACACACAGAATATATAGATATTCTTGGATCATGCGAAGCATAGATCATAGATTACATAAAGCGTATCATTTCTTTTTCCTATACATTTCTTTTCCCATTTATCTGCTACGTTTGCCTTTCCACATATAAAAAGAATGAAAAGGTAAAACGTATAAAAGTTTCTCATGTGGACAGAATAGTCAACGTGCAATTAGATTCAAGGCATTTATTCTATTAATAAAGAAATTAGTCACGTGTTACGACTGCATTTGAAACGACGCGTTTTCCAATATTCAAAAGCTTCGGCTAGTGCGTGCCCCTTGGCACGATCGAATGTATATGTGTATATATATATATATATATATCTCGAAATAAGTACACGGATGGAGAGAGGGAGAGAAAGAGAAAGGTTTCAAGCCCTCTCTCAACCTTAGTGACTATCATATCGGGGAAAAATAAACGGAGCGTGTACGAAGAAACGATTGTGTGGATATATCTACTAAACGCTTCTTCAGATTCGCGAAAAGACCGAAAAGCGCTGTCAACAAAACAATAACTAAACAATACCGTCTTCTCATTCACGTTCAGTTATATCTTCCGATGCAAGCTACATGTGTATTTTTATAAAAATCGAAGAGAGAACCTTTCCATTTTATTCTCCTTTTAAGATGTCATGCGTTTGCAAAATACATCGTGTGTATATATATATATATATATGTATGTATATATCATAGATTATATATCATCGCCATTAGAAAAGCATAGAAAAAAGTTAATATATCTGTCTGTATAAGAAAATAAAGGTCGAACGAATCGAAATATATTTTATAGATGGAGACGTTCGTTATTAGATCGAAACGGCCACTCCTTTAAATTTGAATTTAATCTTCTCCACTTGTTCGCGAATCGTTAAGTCTTACGAGACTTAAATTAGCTTCCAGTCGATACACACATATCGTTGTCGTTCTCTTCTATAGTTTCGAAAGGTCACTTTCCTTTGTTAGCAACTATTCCATGTTAACGTTCTATAGATCGTTCTCGAAATTGTTCGTCGATATATTCTCGTTTTTAAATCATACACATTTTTTCCTTCATTACGTACAAATAGAATATAACCTACATTTGAATATCTTTGTTCAAAACGTACATATATTTAAATGTCAAAGGATAACCTTTCGATCTTATTGTTTATACTACGTTGAAGTATTCAAGCGAGAGAAACGACGTATCGATCTATTTCCGTTCGCAAGACTAATCTATATATAGCTATAGATAAACACACACACACACACACACACATATTTATAATGCCATTTTTTTCGTTTCGCTGGGCCAAGACAGAGATAAGAAAATTATCGATATAAAGCCGAGGGAAGAAAAGATTTAATAAGATATATGAATCATCGACGGATTTTTAGGTAAAAAATTTAACGAAGAAATCCAAGATCTTAATAATTTGCGACCATTCGAGTTTATAATAAAATATGAGGGAAGATGAGGTAAGTTCGATCTTACTCGATTGGCAACAATGAGGCGGAAAAATTCAAATTACGATCAACGATATCAAAAAAATACGCAAAGGAAGAAGAAGAAGGTGAGAAAAAAAAGTAAACACGAGGAAATACTTGTTGATCAGTTATCGCAACAAATAATTTCAAGAAAGCTGACTCGAATTGACAAAATTATGTTTTACTCACCGGGAAATGCATAGGAAAATGCAAGGAAGCACGTAACGACGATATAAATGTTAAAAAGGAGCTTCATGGTGTCGTTGTTCACTTATTGAGGAAAAAAAATAAAAATAAATGTTAAAAATACAATATAAAAAAAGAAGACCCTTTCGAAGACGAAACTCGTTAAAAAAAAAACTCTAGCGAAGTTGTTTCGAGAACGGTGATTGAATTCGTACTGGCGAATGAGAATTACTAGTGGTAGTAGTAGTCGTCAGTCGAGTTCTCTCGGCTTTAGAGCCCCCACAAAACGAACGACTACACAACACGTTGGCGAAGGAATCAAGGTCACTCGCTCGCTATACTCGCTTGAAAACAACGCACGCTCTTGTGTCGTAGAACGCCGTCATTTCGCGAGACTTTTGTCTCGGCTCCGCGCGCCTATACTCGCTCGTCGTCGCGGTCCGCGACTGTCGGCCAATCGGCTTACCGCTACCGACCGATCACGTGACCCTCGCTGAGTCACGTGGCACTAGCTCGCCTCGAGCCCCTCTCATTTCGTCTCTTGTCGTTCTTACGGACGGTTGCATCCTCTCCTTCCGCACGCTTTTTCTTTAATACCTTTTCTTTTTTATTCTTATTTCTTTCTTTCTTTCTTTCTTTCTTTCTTTCTTTCTCAGTCGACGTTACTTCATTCGAGTATTTATATATATACACATATGTATATTTTTTGTTTAACATCTTCTCATTATACATATATATGTATGTATTTTCTTGTGGCATACTTTTTGGCACTTTTTTCTTTCTACCTCTCGATGGCTGTTTAGGTTATAGTAAAATTTGTCACTTGTTATAACTCTTTTTCTTAGTAGCCCTGAGTTTTCTTGAAAAGATAAGAAAGTAAATTTATATTTCGGTATATGATCTCGACTAATTATAGAATTGTGATTCATGAGCGACTAGAGCGATAACGAGCAGACCTGTAAACGCTACTACGAAGAGCTTGGAGACCCGTGAGAACACAATGGTGGATTGGGAAAATAGTTAAGAAGAAAACATTGTGAGATTCTACGACGTAGTATCCTTCCTTACAGATGCACAAAAGGTTTTATAACTCTTTCATCGATCCAATAAATTTTACTTTTAACAATTTTATTCATGTCGAATATAATTAACTATTTAATTGAATATATTTATCAAATTAACGATGCATTATTTTTATGTTGTCTGTAGGTTATTTAAAGATCCGATCACGTGTATATTAATATAAGCGGTTCAACGGTCTCAAGTTTATTCCAGTGGATCTCAATTTAGAACGAAGTACATCGACAAAGACATTTGATTTCATTTTTTTCGTTTTTCTTTCGTGTTCTTTTTTTTTTTTCAAATTCAATTAACAGAGCAGAGTGTGAGAATTGGTCACGAAAGTGACATTAATACACTCCGTCGGTAACACAGAGACCGTACGAAAGCCATAATCCATGAAAGTTAATAAGACGAATGAGCGGATGCTCGAGTTAAATCGATCGTCATTTCACCTTTGTGTTTGAGAATATTTCACTTTAAAGAATATCACCGATTTAATGTAATAATTATCGCTCAAACTTTTTTATACTTTAAGTTATATAATATCAATTATATATTTATTGTATATTTATAGTTTGCGTATCGTTATACTATTAACAGCAATCTTGATACGGTTGAAATGACAAAAATGTACGTGCATTGATAATGTCGTCGCATGTCGAATTCATTCTGAAAATTTATTTTTTTTCGTTTCGAATTTATCATATGCATACGTGTTTTTTTCCTTAAAAAAAAAAAAAGAAGAAAAAGAAAAGAAAAAAAGGAAACAAAAAGAAGGAATATGTTACCAGTCAGTAATGATAATAGTCATTAACTACTTATTATTTTTATCATATCGCCTTGAAATAATCAGTTAATGATTTTCATGTGCTTTTACATTCATCTGCGTCGTCGTTAACGTGATAATCACTATTACGTGTCCATACTTACGTGTTTTTTTATTTTCTATTTCCCGTTAGATTTTTAAAATGTTGGAACGTTTTTCCTTAAACTCTGCCAATAATGTGTACTGATATTTGCTGATTTCTTCGCAATAATTAACACCTTTTCGTCAATTCTGAATATCTGAGAAATGGAACCTGTACACATTATAGAAGATAACTGTATATATTTTTTTTCTTTTTAATGTTTACATCACGAACTGTATATATACACACGCACGCACACACACACACACAGTTTACGATGTATGTGCCATCACAGATGAATATTTGGGTACCGATGATTTCCATTGCAAATTGTTAGTATCGTAAACGAATGCGGAATTAGAGGTAAACACGGTATTAAAACGAGCCGTTACGAAGCTGTTCGAATAACGTCATGGCTTTCGCGAGATACCAACCCCACTCGTTATAAGCACCGAAATACAATCCCTTTCTCTTTTATTCATTCCTTTTTATCTTCATTACTTTTTACAATCTTTTTTGTTTTATGAAATGCAATATCTTTTGTTAAAATAAATTTTCTCTTATAGCGTAGTTTGAACGCTATTCATTTAATTGTTAAAATATTTAATCAATTTTTTTTTGCTTAGTATTATTTGATTTTAAACATTAATTTTTATCTTTTTCCAAGAAAAAATAAAAAATGAAAGTACAGTCGGTAAAACAGAGACAGGATGCGTTGAGATTTAAATTCTTTCGCTTGACTCAGCATGTTCGAACTAAAGGATTGGGTTGATGCGGGGGCGGGGGGGTTTGAGTGTAAGCTCCCTCCCGCTCTTCCGCCAACACCCCTCCCGGCCCATGACTCTTTTTCTCTCTTCGTCGAGCACAGACAATGGATAAGAATGAAGCAAGCGAGATCTCGTTTGGCGTTTTTCTTCTATTCGCTTGGAGCTATGAATGCAGGAACCATTATCGATGACGTTTATTGGCCACGACTCGTTGAGAATAAAGATATAGCTTGCTTGCACGCTTTGCTTCGTTCGTTGTGCTTTGATACACACGGATATAACGTGTAAACCGTGCAACGTGTTCTGCCATGTTTCAATAAATATTAACTTGGTAGAGAGAGAGAGAGAGAGAGAGAGTGAGGGAGGAGGGGGAGAGAGAGAGCGTGGCGAATCGAAAAAAGCAAATTTGCTTTCTGAATCATACTTCTTTTTTATCAACGTCGATTTTATTATTAGTTTTTTTCTTTTACTTCTTTCTTCGTTCTCGAAATTGTCGATTTTTATTTATTTCGTTATTTAATTGGAATGATGTTTTAATTAAAAATCGTGATACATTTTTTAATCATTTTTATCGACAAGTTTATAATAATTTTTTTAATTCTCTTTTTCATAGAAGCCTTTTTTAATTTAATTTCTTTTTTATTTCCAACAATTTTATTTCACTTTTAGGTTAGTAATACTTATCTTCTCGTAAATAAAGCTTTGTGTGTGTTGAAGCGATTTCAAGCGGTCTTGAAAGACGTCAGTATTTCTATTTATTGTAAACGTTTGTTTACGTTTTAAGTTACAAGGAAAAGATTGCCTTTTAGTCTGAGTTTTATCGTCTGGGCACGTGCCTCGCATTCTTTCTCAGAGGATTATAATTCGACGAAAGAATTCAACGCCAGAGAATTCATTGAAATAGTCGAAGCGAATTGCGTTTTAGATTCTTTTTCGGAATTGTATTAATTTTGTGGTTTTAAAGAATAAACCACTTTATTCCACGTAGCTAAATAAACGTTTAAATTTTAATCTATAATTTTTTATTTTAACAAATGTTTAACAAAGAAAATATATTGGTAATTATTTAAGAAATATTTTAACGAGGTTAATAGACATTTGTTTATATTTTTTCAGCTTTATTTCTATGGGTATCGAAACATAATGATTAATTTTCATAGTTAGGGCTAAGAAAGTATGGGTTTAGATAGTTTTTAAGTTTGTATATCATATTTTGAACGTTTCGATATTTTCGTATAATAGATCGAAAAATTACAAGCTTCTAGGCGCCCGCGGGCAGGGGAAGGCATTACACAGGTGGCCACTGCGCATGCGTTCATTTAGTCTCCTTGCTTCTACGCATTTTGAATTATTTTCTGCCATTTGAATTTCGTAGTCTCATCAATTATAGATAATTAGTTAGTATCAATTTTCTTAATCTTATATACCAATCGATTGTTGAAGACGCGATTTTCACGCGTGAATGTTCGCAGTTCGTGGAATCGTTTTGTTTAAAAGATATCTGCGAATATAAAATCTCGGCGTTCCCCGGGGACGTTTTCTATTTCAAATTTTCTCACCTATTAACGATGTTCTAATCAATGATTTCTTTCATTAATTAATCGCGTTCTATTGTATTTCGTCTGATATGCCATTTTCATATACATATCGACGACGTAAGTACGCATATACATATATATATATATATATATATATATATACACATGTATGTATATATAGATATCCCTGTCACGACACACACAATCGATACGTCCCAACACATGCATCCAATTAATTTTCTACTCTATTAATATCGATCTAATTTTTTTCAGCTTTCAAGTGCATAAAAATTGAAAAAACTACGCAGTTGCTAGAAATAATATTAACGTAACCTCTCAACACGATCCACACGTAAGTCCATTTCTTTTTAAATAAATCCACGTGACGTGTGTGCGCGCTCGCGAGCGCATCTGACGCTGTATTATTCGAGAAAAATACGATGGATATCGACTATCAAAAACACGTTTAAACGATCAAAGAGCAATCAAGAGCACGGCCTTGGCACGTCTTTCCTCGTTCGTTTCTAGTAATGCAATCTTTGTTGCTATAAGCAGCTTTCCAGACATGCAAGGGTCTTCAGATATGCTCTTCTTCAATTCCTGTTTTTTCCTTTCCACTTATATTATATATATATATATGTGTGTGTGTGTGTGTGTGTGTGTAATATTTGAATAATAATATTAATATATATTATATAGTCTTTCATAAGGTCAACTCAATCATTTATACATAAATATACTTAATCTTAATCAAGAATATTAATAATATTCTTGAATTTTGTTTAGTTTTTATTCATCGCATTCAACAGAAGTGTCGAGTTGAACACATTTGGTAGCAACTATCATATATCTTTTGTTGCTCTTTCTGTATGATATGTGGAAGTAAGCTTATTTTTAAGATAGTTTCATTAAATGTCAGCTAATGTACAAAAAAATACAAACTTACATATTGTATACACAAATCATATATACACATTATATGCACTTGATCACATTCTATAGCAATTGTCTTTTATGGAGTTTCATTTGCTACACTATCTGCATGGTGTGTACGAATGAGTTTATCTTTAAGAAATTTTAATTAAATTACAACCGGTATAAGAAGTTTGATATTGATTTGAATAAACTGTGTATTGAATACATAAATTATGATAGATTACTCATTATACGTATGCATAGATACATTTTTCTATATTTTACATTTTATTTTAGTCTAGAATATTAATAATATTTTGGAATTTTCTCTGCTCATTATTAATCACGTTCAACTAATTTTTGGATGTACCAATTGTCATGTACTTTCTGCTGCTCTTTGTATTCATCGTTCAGAAATTTGAATTAAATTAGAGCTAATATAAAAAATTAGCCATTAATTATAAAAAAGACTGTCGTGCTATACGGCTTGATGTGCTTATGTAATTATTTATTTTAATTTTATCATAGTTTTATAAGCTCTATTGTAATATCTAGAGATCTTTTTAGCGTTCTTTTTTTTTCTTTTTTAATTATTATTAAAGCATAAGAAAGATGTAAATTGTAAATTTTAGATCTGTTTTTGTATTTCTTTTTGCAATGATAACATATATTTAATTATAATATACGCGCTCAGATATTATTTGTTCGAGTAGAAGGTCACATCTAAGGTCTCAAAAGATTAAATAGTCAATTTGAGAATAAATTTTGTCAAAGTTTACTCGGAGACTGGTACCGACGAGAGAGAAAAGACAAAGACAGATAAATTGCGCGATGTCCCAAGCGTTGATTCACTCTTTGCCTTGTCATATAATTGTTAGTTGCCATGATTGCGTAGAGCAAATCATACACGCGCGCTTGTGTACGCGAAGGAAGGCATGACGTTTATGATTTGTGGACTTACTTCGATTTCTTTTTTTCCTCGATTCTTAATTTTGAAGAAAATTACTCGGTAGAATATTCCATTATTCGTTGTTGTTATTTTTCTCCTTATCATATTTTTACATTTATTTTCTAATTTCTTTAATAATATTTTTATATTTTCTATTACTTTTTCTCTCACGTCGTTTGTTCTTTTCTTTTTTCTATATACCTTTTTACTAATATTCTTTTATTTTCTATTATCGTTATTCGTTTGCAATAGTTCTTCTTATTACTATGTTTTAATATTAATATTATTAATCACGTTTTTACTGTCTCTCTCACACACACGCGCATACATATTTGAATAACGAAATAGACATATGTGCACATATGTTATATGTGGATACGTGATGATAAGTACGTATCGGCGTATTATTCATCATCTTTTTTAAGCATTTTGCTTCTGAGAAAACCAAATATGATATCACCAAAGATATGGCATAATTTTCTTTATGATAATATTTTGTAAAGCGCTTGTCGACTACCAGCGCATACTAACAAGAATCATTATGGAACATATGAGTCAGTTGCAAAGTGCTGTTATGTCGAGTCACGTAAAATATGATTAGACATTTGTTCTTTATCTTATTCTAGAACTTAATATGAATTAGTATGAGTTTAGCGAGAAAGTCGATTGATTTGATTGTTAACCTTGAAAATATACGTCTTGGGTCGCTATGCATTCATTCTTGCTAGTCTATAATATGCTCTGTTGAGGACAAATCATTGAAGAGTGAAACTTGCTACTGCAATTGCAATAGGAATTTCTGCTCAGAAAAATTCAGGAGAAAAAAGAAGATAAATGAAAAAAGGAAAGCAAAGTTGAAGCAGATTTAATTTATTTTTTATTTTTGTTTTCTCTCTCTCTCTCTCTCTCTCTCTCTGTGTCTAGTGTGCAGGTTCGCTAGAAAAAAGCAATCAGCACAGTAGCGAATGTAAGTAGAAGGAGGAAGGTATCACCCAGTGACCCTATCGTGTCTGGTTGCACCAGGTACAAGTTATAGATTACTTTGGCGAGGAGTACGGTTGCTATAGCTGCGGATAGGGAAGCTCTCTTTACCAGCCATGTGTGGTGGTTGCATTCGAAGAAAGACTCCAGTCCAATCTTGAGTGGCTATCTCGAGTTAGATCGATTCGAGTGTGACGGTAGTGGTCATTGGATGAGATCCCCCGAAGTACTATACGAGTTTTTTCTTTTCTTTTTTTTTTTTTGTCTTTTTTTCTTTTCTCATCTTTCGAGAACGAAGACATATTTCCGTGTCCGAAAATGTCTAGGGTTAGTGGTCGGTCTTGATTGTATTCGAAAAGATCCGAGCGAGATTCGAGCGATAACCTCAGCCAGTGTTACTTCGACCCTATAAGAAGAAAAGGAGGAAGAAGAAGAAGAAGAAGAAGAAGAAGAAGAAGAAGAAGAAGAAGAAGAAGCCAAGTTGTTAAGAGAATGCCTGAATGGGTGGTGTGTGTTCATGGAGATCACGAGGAGTAGACCAGGTCAACGTTGACTCGATCTTGGATCGCGTGATAAGCCAGGCAAGCAACCAAGATGATTGTTTGCTCTATCGTCTAGCAAATTACAAGAAGGGGGGTGAATTGATAGAGGCATATAATTTGGGCGGTCAGCTGGAAGTGGAGAAGTTGATGAGAGAACAGTTTGGTATATTGATGTATGGCGATGGTAAAGGGCAGTTAATCAATCGTGCCGAATACTTACGTTGGAAATTTCGCGATAGGGAAGAAGTGATATTACCGATAGAAGCATCCTTGGTACGTTTTGATCCTTTGGCAAAGTGGAAAGATCACGAAGCATGCTGGCAAATGCAATATCGCGGATCCCTGGGAGAAAGTTTATTACACGTACTGATAATATGCGACACCAGGATGCATACCAGAATCGCTAGGATTCTACTAAAGTGTTTTCCAAGATTGTCCATTGACGTGGTAGAAGGTGAAGAATATCTCGGTGCCAGTCCGCTTCATCTTGCCATTGTTTATAACAATAATGAACTGATACAGGATCTGGTAGATGCCGGTGCTATCGTTTCTCAACGTGCCATAGGTAGCTTTTTCCTTCCTAAAGATCAACAAAGATCAAATCCAGCGAGGAATACCGATTACGAGGGTCTCGCTTATCTCGGCGAATACCCACTTGCTTGGGCTGCTTGCTGCGCTAACGAGAGCGCCTATAATCTTTTGCTCGATGTCGGTGCCGATCCTGACAAACAGGATTCTTTTGGTAACATGATATTGCATATGGTCGTTGTTTGCGACAAACTGGTGAGTTATAAATTCAAAATAATATTTATAAAGAGGATAATAAAGGAGCGACATCTTTTAACAAACATTCAGAAAAAAAAAGTGTACATGTATAAAAAAGACAAATTTTTGTTACGCATGTCGGTGAGATGGATTATTCATTTTTATTTTTTAAATTAACTCGCGAAAGTCCAGTCAGGGAATAAAAGGGCTGAAATTCGATAGCTGAAGGCCATTAGAAACGAAACAATCCACGTAATATCTACCTGCGAGAAAATATCATTTTCAGAGTAGCTCATGCTCGATGAGAGCTTGCGCTAGGACGGCTTCATTCTCCGACCGTTTAAAAGCTTTATCATTTAATTAATTATTCGATTAATACGTACCGATGCTATTTCTAGAGATGAGACAAAGGGAAAGAGACATTCTTTCGAAAATTAAATACACATTGAAAGATCACATCGAACTTTGCATTCGAAACGATAATTCGGTGAATAATGAAGAATAATGAAAAGAAGGATATTAACGGATAGAACTTTTCTTTTTTTTTTTTTTTCATTTTTTTTTTTTTTTTTGTTTTCTCTACAGTGTAATGGATATCCCAACTATTTTATAACGCTCTCATTATTCATATATTATGACTAATAAACAATTCGAAACACAAGATTTTTCCTGTCCGGGTTATACCAACGTATTAATATAGTTTAGAGCAGGAATATGACTTGGTTCCGGAAACTCATCACTGACCAATTCTGCAACACAAAATATAGATATCTGTATCTATGTCTTTATTACGCGCGCACACACACACACATATATATATATATATATATACATAGTTTGATCACATCCAATATAGGACATGTTCGGGTATGCTCTACGACATCCGAAGCTTCCAGCTCGCAATGGGATTCTAAATACCGCTGGTCTGTCCCCGTTGACACTAGCCTGCCAGCTGGGACGTGCTGAGGTCTTTCGAGAGATGCTGGAACTGTCAGCACGAGAGTTCTGGCGTTACAGTAATATCACCTGTTCGGCGTACCCTCTTAATGCACTCGACACGATCCTGCCCGACGGTGGAACAAGTACGTCGTAAAGCTAATCGAATTACACGCTTACGAGAATCGCGATATCTGTCTCTCGCTCTGTGTGTGTGGGGAGACAAGGACGTTCAAGAGAGATCTTACCGACTCTGGCTCTAGCACTAGCTCTAGCTTTCTCTCTCTCTCTCTCTCTCTCTCTCTCTTTGGCATATTCCATCTAATTGCTACGACTTAAGATCGAATGCCATGAACTGATTCGTGATCTAGCTCTTCTGGTATGTCGCATAGTTTCTAATCTGGACCGATTCGTGACTTTTGTCGAAAACAACTCGGTCGAGAAAGTAGAAAAATTAATGAAATCGATAAGTAAATAACAGTGAAATTTCTACGTGGTAGAGATAAGAAGGGTAAACTGCTAATTAATTTAGTGGAAAAAGTAATGCCGGCAAAATTCAAGCATGAAAAAATGAGAATAAAAATAAGTGGATGGACAAAATGGAAATTAATCTCATCACGAATGTATTTGCTATCTTAGTAGAATGTTGCCCAAAAAAAGAAAAACAAATAAGAAAGAAAGTGCTATTTTTCTTTTTGGTAGGTCAAAAGTTTCTAAGCGATTCTACGAATCGATTACTCTTTTTCCAAACCTAACTCGATGAGAAGTCTCGAAAAAGAGTAATTTATTTTTAAAATCACTTAGTAACTTTTGGCCCTTACCTCGCAGAAAAAAAATGAACTAGAGACTAGTGTGTGGTAAATGTAAATTTTTTTTTCTTCTTTTCTTCCTTTTTTCTTTTTTTTAACGGGATGAAAAAGTTCATCGATCGAGTCGAATTAATCGGCTGATTTAAGCGAAACTATGGAAGGTATAGTAGGATACATCTGTCTTCTTCGTTGAGACGAGTTTTCTGACTGGACTTCGAAGAGATCCTTCTCCTAAAGTGATGGTACGGGGATACGGGAAGAAGGGTCGTTGTAGGATGCAATTACGGGCATTTAACGAAGTTTCGAGATTAGCCGCGGACTCTCTGGAGCTCGCGTTTCATTTAGTTTCGGAATCCATTATCCCTCTTACCCTTTTCCGATCCTGAACTGAACCTATTGTCGTTCGATCCTATATCTAGATAGACAGATAGATAGATAGATAGATAGATAGATAGATAGATAGATAGATAGATAGATAGATAGATAGATAGGTAGAAGAAAGAGAAGTGAGTTGGGAAGTGATCGTTGGAGCGAATTCAGTAGCTACTACTATCGACTTTTGGTCCGATTGCTCGCTCCCTCGCTACTTGCCCCTTCTCTAATCATTATCAATAGAGTTTTAAGCCAACTTAACCGATCTAATTTTATCGTCATTATTATTTAATTAAAAACGTTTAGAGACGTCCAAATATATAGATGTGTATACCATGTATATTAGCCGATATATCGAGGAATTTTTATTTATTTATTTAATGCCGTCGATGAATATCAGCGTTACGCTTATCATATATTGTACGTGTTAATATTATCGCTATTGTTGTTCACGTTTTTACCCAGCCATCGATATCATCTATAACAAATTGTTGTTAAATTTTTAACTTTTTTCCTCACTTTATCGTAATTTATCAGTCATAATATATTATTTATTAGAAAAGCGAGTTATCGATCGTATAATACGATTAATGTCAAACGTGATCGTTTGACTTTTATAAAAGTTCATTAATTCTATCATAAAGTTACTATTAGAACAAAACCGAAATTCAATTAAAATCGATCTATTGTCAACATCTTTTAATTTCATTAGAGATGAATTGTGTTCCAACATGTTTCGTTAGAAATTAGGTATAACCGAGAGAAAAAAATGAAATATAATTGATGGTATAAAATTGACCGAACCAACGGGAAGAAAAGGAAAGTAAATAAAAAAAGAACATGATGGCGTGTCGATTAAATCCATTTTATATTTTTTCGACCGTTCGTAGGAACAATAGAGGTGTCAAAGGTAAAAAATGAAAGAGAGAAAAAAAATCAAAAGCGTTTGACCCGTTGAAGTGAGGAGAGGTGTTGTAAGGGTGGTGAGGAGCTGCCTGAAGAGGTGGATGAAGAGGAGGGACGGGGACGAAGGCAGGGATTGAAGGCAGTGAAATTGAAAATTTTCGTGTACACTCGAGCTGCCGGCAAAAGCAGCAGCTTTGCTTTGCTCGAGTGATTAAGGATCCTAAGGACACGCTCGGCGCAAGGACTTGACGGAAACTTCTTCCATGTAGTCGCGAGCGACAACGCCTCTCTTCTACGAGATATCGATCGCGATATAACGCTAGAAAAGGACAAGAAGGAGGAAAAAGAGAGAGAGAGAGAGAGAGAGAGAGAGAGAGAGAGAGAGAGAGAGAGAGAGAGAGTAGCCGAGGGAATCTTGGCTCGAAACGAACGTGCTTAATATTTCAAGAAGACGCGAGACAACGAGACTAACTATTTATGGTAAAATATATATCTCTCTTCAAAGTTTATTAATCATCCATCTTAATGTTTCATATTGTTATCTATTATCTACGTTGTATCATAATTTGGTAAATCAATAATTTTGTTACGGTCGGAATTAAGAGGGGAAAAAAAGAAGAAAATGAAAAGATAAATTTTTCCAACAATTTATCATAGGTATATCAAAGAGGTTGATCTAATGGTTTTAATAATGGTAAAAAATGTATAAATCTTAAGTTGGAAGCCTAGGAACTTTATTAATGTGATAATTAATGCACGCATAGGTATGGAATAGAATGAGATTCTAATTCGTGGACATGTAATAGGCTGTCGTCGAGAAAGGAGAAGTCATAATCATCGCGGTCGCGGTTCTCCCTAAGGCCTCGAAACCTCGAAGCCCCCGAAAAGCGATGTTTCATTAACCCGCAAACGGTCCCCATGCCGAATTTCTATTTCAGACTGGAACTCCGCCCTATTCATCATCCTGAATGGTACGAAGGAGGAGCATTTGAACATGCTGGACGGCGGTATTATTCAGCGATTACTCGAGGAAAAATGGAAGACCTTTGCCCGAGTAAGTATTATTATACTTAAAATAAACAAAAAGGTATACAAAGAGACGACAAAAAGTAACGAAAAAAAAGAAAAAATAAAAATGAAATAAAAAAGAAAAAATATAAAAGAATAAAAAGATTCCCTATCGAGTCAAATGTTCCATCGTCATCGTCATCGTCATCGTCATCGATTTTATTCATTTGTTCTTTTTTGCAATTTATTATTCGTAATGATAGAGAGAGAGAGAGAGAGAGAGAGAGAGAGAGAGAGAGAGAGAGAGAGAGAGGAGAGGGAGAGAGAGAAGGATAAACCTAGGAAAGGGTAGACATAGAGAGAGATCGATTTTCGCTTAGCGTCACTTTCACGTAAGAGTGTCAGAGGGTGGCGCAGTGGGGGAGGGGGTGAGTCTGCGTTCTGCATGGATATCATCGCAAGAGATAGAGAGAGATGGACAGACATAGATATATACAGGGTGAGCCAAAAGTTCCTGGCTGATATTAAAAAATCAATCATTCTTTTCCGAGACTTTGTACAGACTTTTTTGCAATTAGGCTTGTAACTTTACTTTAGTTAGGCTTATAGTTTTACAATCTGAAATAACAAAATTTTACCTAGAAAATCCTCGAGAGAGGATAATTAATTTTTTAAAATCATCTAAGAGCTTTTATCTCACCGTGTGGATAGAGTATTCCGGGGTATCGTATCCAGCATACGTGAACAGAATACGGTTTTGTATTATTATTTTACGAACGTTCGAGTGACAACGACGCCGAGATCGAGGACGAATTGATCTCTCTCGATCGAGAGAATCCCATGGAACGATTTTCATGGTACATACAACAAGTGCGACGTCGATGAGGCTTTCGAGTGATCGCAAATAATTGCCTGAATTATTTCAACTTAGTCCAGTGATCATCAACGTTGTGACGTCGATCTCCAAGCAATTTTGGCTCGCGTCGGAGAGGATCCTCGTCGATCCACGATTTTCTGATCGCAATTGCGATCTCTCCCTCTCTTTTATCTCCATCCCTCTCATTTATATCACGACGAGAATTTCCTTTTCAATCTGTTCTCATGTACGTCCATATATTCGTGTACGTGTGCATATGAGGCTTATATAGATGGTTTTATTTTTAAATTGTATATATGTATAGCAATTTATTCATTATTTTGTCATAATAATTAATCTATATGACAGTAGAGTTTTGTGATAATAATAGTATAGTAAATGATACATTATTATCGTTACACATTGCTTTGCCGTACTGATAATACTGTACAGTATTATTGTAAATGTAATAATGTAATGCAGAAAGAAATTTTGTCAAGCTGTTGAAAATCTGATTGAACCGTTATATATCAAAGTTACAGTTCTTGAAACATTTGATAATCCTGGCCTTCCATTTGACATCACTGTCCCTGGCGATTTACCTGCGACCTGCCGAGTTGGATGCTGTTCTTTTAAAATGGCCGGAGGAGATAACGGAGATGGCACGCATAGCGGCTGAGTGTATCACCATAGCCGGAGTATTCAACTACATTTTCCTTCAGCAAGGCGGTGAAATGATGAACGTTGGCTTGCTATCCTTTTTCAAGCAACTGGTATTAAAGAACAAAGGGGAAAAAAATAAAAAAAAGAAAGGAAAAACAATAGAAGAACGAGGAGAAAGAGAGAAGAAAAAAATGGAAGAAGGAGATATCATCTTCTTTAATATCACGAAACGTCCAACATTTCTTGATCACGAAATAGCTAGTAGACATCGTTGGCTCATAACTTGATGGGGGAGGGAAGGTGATCCGGGTATAAACAAGAAATGTTACGCAAACGGTTGGTCAACGAACTGTAACCAGTCACGAGAGATGCACCCGTTGATATACATATTAGCTCTTTTCAAAGTTTGCATCTAACGAGTCGCTATGATCATGATGATAGTAATCATGATTATGCTAATGATCAATTCGCGAGCTGCATATACTTTTATTACACATTATACTACTTCCTCTCTCTCTCTCTCTCTCTCTCTCTCTCTCCCCCTCTCTCTGTAATTTTTTTTCTTTTGTATATTTCCTTTTGTTAATTCAAAGTTAATAACAAAGACTGTGATCGTCCCTTACAACTCTCTCCTTTTCAACGAGGTAATTTTACAAAAGGATTTGAATTTCAGACGCACGAGCCGGCAAAATTGATCTTTTTCATCAGTAATTTGCTCATTGTTGCCTGCATACCATTCCGTTTCTTTGGTAATCGTGACGCCGAGGATGCCATCTTGATTGTCGCCGTGCCTACTTCTTGGTTTCTTCTCATGTTTTTCGCCGGGTATGTCGATTGTTTCATATATTGAAAGAAAAATAAGCGATTGTAGTATAGTATATTAAGAAGAACAAAAAAAGAATAAGCTTAACGAAATACCTCGATTATGAAAAAAAAGAAATACGCGAAATCGTTATTAACAAGAAGGAATAATTTCTCAAGAATTCTTTGAAAGTTTTTTTTTTCTTTTCTTTTTTTTTTTAACAAAAATTCCGATGATCTACGGATATTTTCTCTCTCTCTCTCTCTCTCTCTCTCTCTCTCTCTTTCCCTTTTTGTTCCTTTTATAAAAACTTTTTCCTTCTCTCGTTCCTTTTTCTTTTCTCTTCTCTTCTTATTCTTTTTTTTTCTTCCGCTCGCTTTGTCTTGTTGGCTCGAGTCCGTCGTCGTCGTCGCGTCGTTGTCGTTGTGTTCGGGCCGAAGCACAAGCTCGTCGTTGCATTCTCTCGGAGTAGGTTCTCTCGACGAGGTAAAGACGTTCGTCAAAGTGTCGTTAAAGCAGAGCTGGAATGCCACTCGAAGTCACCGTCGAAGATGTGAGACGGTGTGTGCTTCTTCGGGGCAAAGCCTCGTGGCGAACCTTTGCTTCATAAGTGCCTTAGGAAGCCATTGACGTAACCATTTTACATTGCAAATTTTCTAATTTTCTTTCCTTTTTTATGAATTTGTTATTTGCGTATTTTTGTATCTTTATTTTTCTTGTACGGAATATGTGTTCCAGGTGATTTTAAAAATCAATTACTCCGTCGACACTTTCTAGATCCATTTTCTTCTCAGATCGTAAAACAACGATAAGCCTGAACATGGGCCAAACCATAGATATTTTATCCCTAGTATTTTTATAAAAAAAATTATTCGAAATCGATAATACGAACGTTCTAATGATTTTATAAATAAATAAGTAAATAATTGATATCACCGGCAAGAGAGAAAAGTAGTAGATTCTTTTTCTTTTTTCTTTTTTTCCTTTTCTTCTTTTTTCCCTTTATTTTTCCCCTTTATTTCCTCTGTCCAGTTATAATTTAATAAATAAATTTGTTCGTATTAAAATAACTCGCCTCCCGAGATAATATAATTTAATAAATGATATAAAAGTTAAAAAATGTATTCTCCCCCGAGAGAGATATGATTAAAATTAATTCGAAAGAGGAAAGAAAAAAAATATTTATCAAACGCTTGAAAGTTCTTTACCGAGCGCGTCGCCTCGATAAAAAAAGGAATGAAAGAAAGGAAAGTCTATCCTACGGATGGACGTCTATCCTAGGTGATTGTAAAATATAAGCCTCGAGAAAGCCTCGAAAAAAGTGTAATCTATTTTCAATATCATCCAGGAACTTTTGGCCCAGCCTGTAAAAGTTAGAGAAGCAAAAAAGAAAGGAAGAAGGGATAAAATTTTTATCTTGAACAATAAAGCTTTTATTATTTGCATTCGCGAGTGCTGCGTGTGCACGTACGGAAAGAAGAATCGCGAAGCGAATATTAATTCGCGCGACTCCGCAACTAGGAAATTATATTCGTCGGGTTCTTGCACCTCGTGCCGTCACGTTCGGCACAGCGATAACGAACCATCGAAACTATAATTAATCACTCGAAATATTTCTTTTCTTTCTCGATAATTTCCTATCGTTCGCTCCTTTCCCATCTTTCGTTTCTTTCGTTTCTTTTCTTTTTCTCGAAGGAAGAAGAAAAAAAGGAATCGTCGCGATTAGATTAACGATTTCTAAGTAACAATAAAATAAAAAATTATTAAAGATTATTTATCGTTTGTTATATAAAAGGAAATGAACGAATAACGAGACTAGAGATAATAATAAATGTTCAATAAGCCATTTCAATAGTGGGATAACACCGCGCGATGTTATTAGAAAATGGGGGAGATTAGAAGGAAGGTTTATGTGGGTGATACGCCAATGTAATGACCCCGAGGCCAAGTCTCGTACAGTGGCTATAGAAGTACGATAGCTATGAAGAAGGAATATGGTAATGCCAAGTATAACCGTCGCCACTTCGTCGCCGATCATTCGAAAACGCGAGGATAATTCATAGGCGTGAAAGTGCATTGCCATAGGCGTAAGCACCTTTATGCTCGTTCTCAGTCTCGCGTTGATAGTCGCGTCAACCGATAAATCCACTTCCGCCGAGTATGTTTCCTTCTTCTTCGCGTGTAAATCTCAAGTCTTGAATGACGATGATCGATAGATCCTATCGTTTCGACGATCTAAGAGGAAATTTCAATCGAAATTGAAAATTTACTATTAAAGAAGCGAATGAACAATTTTCTTCTTCCAATGTTATAACCAATTGGGTGGGCCAATCATTTATAAACCTAAAAGTTATTTTACGTGATCATCGAAAATTCGATTATACTTCTTTTTCGAGACGTTTTATGATCTGTTTCGCTATCCGAAGAAAAAATTAGCTCGCAAAGTCTCGAGAAATTGATTTTTAATATCACCTTGAAACTTTGTATCGATTATTTCGCGTGCGTGTAGGTGCACACAGATATCGCCGGATTCTACAATAATCGATTCTGTAATCAAAGAAATAAAGCGTATGCATTCGCGTTAAATGTTCACGCCGCTTTAATGGAACGATCGGAAATATATAGACGTCTACTTTATAGCTACGTATACGTTGCACGTTTCTGCGGCAGCTCGTGCATAGAGAACACGGAATCCTTTCATATCGAATTCCCCAAATTATGAACCTATTACACGAAAGGCGAAATCATTTTCAATGCAGCTAAAAGAGTTCCCTCTCTCTCTCTCTCTCTCTCTCTCTCTCTCTCTCTCGTCTATGGGGAATAATAGTAATGATAATAATAACAGTAATAATAATGATAATAATTCGATTGCTTTTCCCTTTATGATATTTTATCCGTTGAGTTCTCCTTGCATCCGACTTTACATTCGACAATTTTAGATTCATTAATCGGTAATGAGATCGAAAATTGTGAAAAAAAATAAAATGGACAAAAGTATTCAATTATTATTTACAATATATATATATATATATATATCTAAGAGGAGAATATTACATTTTGACATTTTTGTAAAAACACCTATTAAAATTCAATGCACGTGCCTTTACTTTCTGTTCTATTCTCGAGGCGGATGCACTCCGGAAATAAGAAGAAAACATTTTTAATAGCAACTTCCCCCTCTTTCTTACCCTTCCTGTTCTCAAACGAAAAGAATTTCTTAGGGTTGTCATATACAGAATCGAACTTTTACCAGGTGCATTATACATTACAATTATTATTGTTATTATTACTATTATTATTATATTATTATTATTATTATTATTTCTGAGTCGTTTGGTAATGAAGGGAAACGTTCATTGCTTTAAACTAAAAATGGACAATTATTAACTCTCTAAAATATACTTTATAAGGAGAGAGAGAGAGAGAGAGAGAGAGAGAGAGAGAGAGAGTATTACACATTAGATTTATTTAGTTGATATAGTGTCAAAGTGGTATCACACTCGAGTATAATTACTGTCCATCAACGCGTCCCTTTTGTCCCTAGCGATGTCGTTTAAGTACATCAACGTTTGGTAATGAGTAAAAGCCAGCAATCTCGCGCGCTTCTACTATCTTCCTCTACCCACTTCTTCGTATACGATGCATCATAATACGCGAGCGTATAAGTGCACTTGCTATAGTCACCATTACATCGGAACCAATCTGGACACACTAAATTCATTTCCTCAAAGTCTCTGATGATGGAGATAGGACATGAATATTACAATATTTCATTAATATTTCATTTTTACAAAGAAAATTTTTACTATACTTTTATTCGTATTATTCCTTTTTTGTTTGTTTTCCCTCTAATATTTCATTTAATATTTCGTGTAATTTTTTGTTCTCATGCATTATTATTATTATTATTATTATTATTATTATTATTATTATTATTATTATTATTATTGTAGTATCATTCGAATGCAAAAAATTAGTTAAATATATATTTTTGTAATATCTAATGTGTGGTATACTTATTTTCAAGTATACCTTAGTCAATAAAGCGATTGATATATTTAATATATATCCTAAGAACCTTCAAAAATAATAAATAATGATAATGCAGCTGCGTTCTGTTCCGACGTGTCGACATATCGATCGAGTTTTACTCATCAGTAACATCAGAGAGGGACTCTCTCCTCATCTTCCTCCAAACTCTAATCGATATGTGACCTTATCTAGTAACTGGGGTTACTGACGTTCATAAATCCACGTCGACGGAGTTAAGTTCAAGGGAAGGTACAGACTCGATAGAAAATTGGACGAAAAGTAGTCTCTATTTCTCTCTCTGTGAACATTTAATTGTTTTAAGTCGATTTCGTTAACGAGAGATGATCGAGTTAGATGCAACAAAGATAAAAGAGATAAGGTAATAAAGAAGAGGATAACGAAGAAAAACGTTCATCCATTCAATTATGAACAATGGACGTCGCTCGTTAATTGACTTTGATTACTGAATTGTTCTAATTTCTTGTCATTAATTCAAATTCGAATTTGAATAAATAAGATTTGAATAAAAAATATCAAGCACACAGAGTGGGCCAAAAGTTTCCAAGTGATTATAAAAATCAGTTAGTCCTTTTCGAGACATTTTAGGCTTGTAGCTTTACGATCTAAAAAAAGAAAATTGAAATTACCCTAGGAACACTTTTGGCCCACCCTGTATTTTCTCTCCCTCCCTCTCTTTAGTATTCTACCTTTATGTCTTTGTGCAGTGGAAAAAGAGAGAGAGAGAGAGAGAGAGAGAGAGAGAGAGAGAGAGAACCGGAGGATAACGAGACCGCAATAAGCGCTGTCACTTTACGGATATAGCAGACGATAGAAGGAAAGGATATATGCTACGAAGATAATAATTCTTGAGCTTCCTCTCCTCGGCCATTTTCCTTATAACCTTCTTCTTCCTCTTTTCGGAGGGAAAAAGGGGTAAAACAGTTATGTAAAAAGCCTTCGTTACGAGAAACTCCTCTCTTATATCTGATCTTTTATGAATATTTCTCTATCCCTTTCCCTCTCAGTCACTTGCGTCAACGTGTTATTTTATATTTAGATAGATAATAAACTAATTTGATACGGCATTATATCATATAATTCAATTTTTATATCGTTGGAGTTTATCATTTAACATTATTCGTTAAATTTAATATTATGTAATTTGAAATTGTCTCGAAAAAACTAATTTGTTTATAAAGTCAATTAATTTTTCTTAATGAAACAGAGCTATTCGACTTACCGGACCATTCGTCACGATGATATATAGCATGATAACAGGAGATATGCTTACGTTTGGTATCATTTATGCCGTCGTTCTATTCGGATTCTCTCAATCGTTCTACTTTCTTTATAAGGGCTTTCCCGGTGTCAAATCATCCCTATATCATTCTTATCATTCTACTTGGATGGCATTGCTTCAAATAACTCTCGGTGATTATAACGTAAGTTTTTCTTAATTTGTTTTCTTTCGTAACAAAATTCTCATAATATCTCTTTTAATTCGACGAATCATCTTTTTTTTCCTTTTTATTCACAGTACACCGATTTGAGTTATACGACGTATCCTAATCTCAGCAAAACGGTGTTCGCCATATTCATGGTACTGGTACCGATATTACTACTCAATATGTTGATAGCCATGATGGGTAATACGTATGCTCACGTGATCGAGCAGAGTGAAAAAGAATGGGTAAAACAAGTAAGACATTACTTTGATATTTATAATAAAGAAACTTGATAAGCTAATAGCCTAAGACTAATAGCCTATGAATGAAAAACGGAAGAAAATTAAATGATTAGAATCTTTTTATTATTAGTCGAAAACGTCAAATTTTCGTTTTTAATAGAATGCGTATAATATTGGAACGTTACAAAATTTGTGCTAATAATTCCATTAATAATTATATTACATGATGATGATGATAATAATATATAGAAGAGAAAAGTAATATTACGTAAATGATATCGCAAATGTCAAAGCCGCTAAAGAATCCAATGAAAATATCAAGTATTATGAATTATAATGAAATTTGTGCCTAGAGAGATAGACAAATTACGATTTTAAATACGAAATGAAAAATATTAGAAGAAGAAATATCGGCCAAATATATTTCTATTATTTTTCTTTTATATTTTTATATTTACAAAAATCGGTTTAATGGAGAATCACTGGTAGAAGCATATTTCTCCATGAAATGATAATATATAACTCGCATAAAAAGATATAAAAAGGAAGAGCAATGCATTATATACATATATATGTGCATGCGTGTGTGTGTAAATACACGCCGCAAACAAATGTAATATTAATTGTTAATTGCTATTATACAGTGGGCAAAAATAGTGGTATCGTTGGAGCGTGCAGTATCCCAAGACGATGCGAAAAATTATCTACAAGAATACAGCATAAAGTTAGGTCCGAGTAACGATCCGAATAATCCAACGTACGAAGAGAGAGGTGTATTAATAATCAAGAGTAAATCAAAAACGAGAGCTAAGCAACGTAAGGGTGCAGTCTCTAATTGGAAGGTGAGGTTCCACCATTTTTTCTTATTTATTTGTCTCATTTATCGTTTATTTATCGATTCGTTTATCGCCAACAGCACGTACGCATGCACGCACGCACTCACAATCAATTTCGATAGGGAGATTTGTGCACTCTCTCAAATTTATTTATCGGTTTTCCATTCGATTGATTTTCAACTTATATTACACACACACACACACACACACACATATATATATATATATATATACACACACACACACGTATATGTGTGGACGTATGGTGCAATGACTGTAATAAATTTAGGAAGAAAACTTGGACAGATTTTTCTCGTATTGGCGTATATTTTAAATAATAAATTGTTTCATGGTAAATTTTGCTCTATGCATTCGTATTCTGTACATTTGTGCCGTTATCTGTGTATAATTTATTTATTGCGTTTGTCTATGTATCGTCGCGTTTAGAATTTATAATCTAACCAAGTGTATCGATTTATTTCACCAATAATGCGTTAATGAATTTTATTAAAACTAATATCATTAATGCGTAGAAATTAATCGAAACATATGGTACGTATTATTACATAGGAATATCGTCGTCATAATATGCAATGAGTATAATAAATTACTAAAGAAAATTTCTATGAGAAATGAAGAAATTTATTTAAAGTAATTAGAAATAGTTTCACAGAAATAGTAAACATACCTTGACGTGTTTGGCTCTCGGTTTTTGTATATACGCGAAGGTTACGGACAAGGTATAAGGTATCTAAATAGGAGAAGATACACACATACATACTTGTTTACAATTTATCCGAGTATATACAATCCACGTTTAACGACTTTGACTCAGTATTAACGTACGAGCCGAGAAGGAACGACGAAGGTGTGGTACGACGTTTACATACGTACGTACGTATATGTATAAATCTTAATGATGTAATTAATTATCGATTTCGCTATTATCTATATATCTATACGTCTTATATATCGATGAATTTGATTAGGATATTGGTATCCTAATACTATAAGGAATAATCGAAACGTTTACGTCTATCACATATTACTTTTCGTCTATGCGCAAGCATATAGCTTGACCATGTGATTAATTATATACTTCACAATTAGTCCGTCGATGAATTTGATTAGTATTAATATCCTATGAAGGACAATCTGTAAGGATAAATCGAATTATAATTAAATTATGTAGTACATATTACGGGGTAAACATGCGTGTACCCTTAGCACGACGGAATTAATTATAAATTACACAATTGGAATATACTGATGATTTTGATTAGTATTAATATTCTATAAGGATTAATTGCCAACGATCTAAGTACATATTGCTATTTACAAACTTATCAACATATTAGCAATGGAATTAATTAAAAAATTACACAATTAGTTTGTATCGATTTCATTAATATCCTATAAGAAATAATCGCAAAAATTGTAATACGCATTAGGCGCACGATCCAATTAATAATCAATTCCGCATTTAGTGTGTGTGTGTGTGTGTGTGTATATATATATATATATATATATATATATATATATATATATATATATGTGTATATGTATATAATCCAAAGATATTAATACCGTCTATGTTTATAGGTACGTGCAATTATGTACGTATTTGCCTTTTTAATAGGCACAATTAATATCCTAATCCATGAGGATTAATCGAAAGATCCATATGTATCGTCTAAACGCAACGTGCAATACGTTTCAGCGACTCGCGATTAAATATCGATCTCACGATTAGTGTCTGTCGATGAATTTGATTACAATTAATGTCTTAATGCGTAAGAAATAATCATTTACACGCACGCATACATCACCTGCGATAATACAAATTTTTCTAATCGGAAGAAAGAAAAAGTCGACATAAAGTTAATAAAAGTCAAAATATGAAGATGAAAAGCATAAAAGTATTTTTAATAGTTATTTAACGATTTCGTCGTTACAATACGAGCAGCAAGCAAACACATAAGCGTTGATCGTTGAAATCGATAATATTATATAACTCTATTATCTCTTTCTCTCTGTCTCTCGCTCACTCGTTGCACGTAACTCAATCGGTCGATTAATCGCACGACTAGCATAATTAAAAGGACACCATGCTGTGAGCTTTTATCGCATCGCATAATGTGATATTGTTTCCCATCTCTTTACGACCAACCAATTGTACGTATATACGAATTGGTTGAATGATATCAAAAATTTTTCCTTATTTTTTATTAACGATTTCGAAATTAATAAGTTTAATGAAACCAATATAATTCGCTTTTCTCGATTATTAGATCTCGTGTACATATGCACATCCGCGTGTATGCATGTATGTAGATATAAAAAGTGAGTTTATTTAATTAACAATTTTACGATATTGTTTTTATTAAAAAAAAAAGAAAAGTAAATAAATGGAAACAAATAAATAGAGTAGAATACGACATAATTAATAATAATCATTGTTAATTAATTAATATTTATTAGATTCACTAGATTTACTTTTAGTTTACGATGTAGTGATGTTTGGATAAAAAGAAAGAAAAAAAAAAAAGAAAAAAAGAAATGTAATATATGAATCATTAATGAAATTGTCCAGTCGTGTTGATTAATTGTTTATCCTGTTTACAGCGCGTTGGAAAAGTCACGATAAACGCGCTGAAGAAACGAGGCATGACTGGTGAGGAATTGCGACAAATAATGTGGGGACGGGAATCCTTTTCAACGCCTATACGAGTTAGGCAAGTGATGACTATAATCTATATAAATTGTGATGTAATTGATTATGAGATATAGTCGCTTTGTAGACATCAGTACGTATTACTTAACTTCATTATATATTACGCAATATAAAAATTCAATTACATGCACTCACACACACACACCTCTATCTTTTTCTATATCGTGCGTGTGTGTGCAATTTCTAGAAATATTTATGAATTGTAGCAAAAATTGTTTGTTATCGAAGAAATTTTCTAAAATGTTTCTTTTTTTTGTCAAAGGAACGTCCTTGTCAAATGAAATGCAAGTTGAATATTTCATGAGCCGCTTTCAATTTACTAAGTATTACGTTTCTATATATCTGTCTTTCTTTATGATACATTAGAAAGATAAACGAAACAGGATCGGCGAGTGACTCGTCGGTGAAAAACACAAAAACGTAGGGAGCATGAATTTTGCCTTGTATATGGCCTTGGCAAGAAATGACTCAAGAGTCTGCACCGAGATGTAACATATCTCCTTTTTTTTCTCTCTCTCTCTCTCTCTCTCTCTCTCTCTCTCTCTCTCTCTCTGTCGTCGTTTCATAATCGATAATTACTTCCTGTTTGCGTTAGGAATAGAGTAAAAAAGATGGAATAGGATTCAGAGCTATTTTCTCATTTTCATCCGTTCATACGATTCTAAAACTGTTGATAGAGAAAATAATGCTAATATGTCTCGCTAGCTTGTAGTCAACAGACAGACATGTTTTCACATATATGATACTTATTGTGCGTTAAATTGGAATTGTTCTTGTTGAATCTTTTTATATTATTGCGACATATGTAAAGGCAATTTAATAATTAAGTAAAAGTAGAGGAAAGATTTATATAAGTAAATGTTATAATTGTTGACAAGTTTATTTAGGAGCGATTGACGTAAGAATTATTACGATTACATTTCAGTGCAAACGTCGGCGGTAACACCGAAGTTTCCGCATTGACCGCTGGCTTTGGTGACGCACTCACCGCAGCTCTGGACGTGATGGCCTTCGCTCATGATTTGAATCTCCCTGTGGATACCACCGAGAGAATACCTGACGGCAACGTGAACGAGGAACAACAGGCTAAGATGCAATCAGAAGTCACTAGTAATTGTCAGAGTGTGCCTTCAACGAATGTTCGAGAGAATTGTCAAGTAGAACTTGCAAGTTCAACCAAATTAACTGAACTTACTATAGATTTCATTGAGAAACCCGTTGAACCCATAACAAATGTTCCCATTGGTGAGTTCCTCAAAGAGAAAACAAAAAGCAATTTCAAGATCATGTCTTTGATATTTTAAAAATCGTTAATTCCGATCTAATTAACGAAATCGTCCATTAAATGATATTACAATGCACAAAGGAAAAAAAAAACTGGTCCATTTATATTTATGTTTAGAATCGAAGCTGTCGAAAGAAGAAGATCCGTTTTTGAAATTGATTATAGCATCAGAGTTGACGAATGATCAAGAATTGCTTCCAAAATTAGCCAAAGATGTGTTGGAGGTTGCCGAAAAATCAGTAAATATAGAGACGGACGTACGATCGAAGTCACAAATTTTAGAAGGCTTAGCTATAATCATGATACCCACGACCGTCGAAACTTTTCTGCCGAAAAAGCAATACTTTGTTGAATCTAGTGACAATGATCTTTGCGCTAGTAAGATAATTCATTTTTTATTTATCTAAACTTTTTATAAACTTTTATATCGATTCTCCAATTTTAATTAAAAAAACGAATTACAATTTAACGAAAAAAGAAAGATGAGGAGAGAGTTGTTATAAAATGTTGAAATATTCCCTATATTTGTTTAAGATGAAAAAACGTTAGGAACGGAGTCCTATCTACGAAGAATCAGGTCGGCGAACAACAGATTTATGAAGAGTAGAAAAAAATCTGGACGCAAGCCTGCCAACGGCAGTTCGTCGTCGTCGTCGTCGTCGTCGTCGTCGTCGTCGTCGTTGTCGGTTAAGGTGCCGGCATCGTTGTCATCGTCGACGTCGACGTCGACGTCGACGTACGTCGACAAGAATATTATCGGTTATGGGTCTTTGCTGAATGGCCCGGAAGAGGAACCAACGAAGCGTATCCTGAACAAAGATCGTAAGAAGTCTGTCGAAACAATTAAGGACGAGGTCGAGCAAAATGGTGGTACTCGCAATCCGTTACAGGATAAGCCACAGAAACGACGGCCGAAGACAGCTAGGAATAGGTAGCTTTATTTTCTTTTTTTTTTTGTTTCCCCCGAGAAGAAGAAAATCGACGCGAAAGTCGAAATTTGTCTAGAAAATTTTTCTTTGCCAAACGTAGCCAAGATGATACCGTTTACTTACTATCTCCGCGTATCCATTCAAGCAAATTAATAAGTATTTTTATTCGAAATAATTGTTTTTTCGCTCGATCTGACAATTATCTATCGTCCTGTATGAGGAAAGTAAATATCGAGAAAAATAGAGAGGGTATATATCCATCTATTTCTCTCTCTCGTTCTCATTTTATCTCGAAACGACATCGTTCCCCTCTTTTTCCTCTTTAATACGATCTCATCGTCTTCCATCGTTTAATTGAGCCGATTACTGTTACAAAGCATCTATATTTCATTACAGAAAATTTATTGTCACACTTGGCCGAACTTATTACCGATACTTTTACGAACGATTATTATCTCTTAATTTTACCAAGTTATTTTTTTTTTTTCGTCATTTCTGTTTAGTGATAAGTTCGAAATGTGTGTGCGTATATAAGTTTTAAATATGTATATGCGTATGTACATGTGTGTTTCAATTGTTATTGAGTTGGATAGGCACGCCTCTCTTCTCTCTTTTGTTCTTGATGATATTTCCTCCAAGGAAATCGGTTTGCATAGGCGCGTATCTTGCGCATTCGATAAATCAATTATCGTTCGTGTAGGCGTAAAGACTCCTAGAAAGCGGAAACTCAATACTCAAGACAATATCGACAAGTAGTCACTGTAGCAAGTCGAAGGGTTGCCAAACATATATTCGATTGTTTCTATGTATGTATATATATATATATATATATATATATGTACACATGTATATGTACACACACACACATTCAATGATATAAAATTGCGAAATTTCTTAATGTTCACTGCCATACAATCTCAAAAGATCCTCTTTATAATTTCCCCTGAATATTTAATAAACCCTTCTTTTTTTTTCTTTAATTATATGCGCAGAGTATCACCCAAGGAGGAGCCAGCGAGGGAAAGAGAATCGATTGAGCGAAATAAGGTGCCTTTAGAAACGACAACGACGACGACGACGGATCCGTTGGAGCCATGGAGCACGCGTGGTATTAAGGACATGAACGCCATATTGGCTTGGAAGGAAAATACGCCGGACAGTCCTTAATGTGACTTTATGATACTGAGGTTGCACGTACTATAGTCTCCGCCTTACACACTCGCACACAGTAGTAGCCTGATTGCATCGACGAAAAGACTGCTTTCGCTTGACTCAAAAGTTTACACGCCCGAAGAAATTGGGATTTAAAGAGGACCGAAGGAAGAGACTTAATGGGTGCGAGAGAGATAAAAGACTACGGTGGTGGTCTATCTGCAAGAAATTCATTTAGAAAGAAGAAAGGCAAAAATATTTCTATCCTTTTTTGTTACGTTATTATTTATTGCTTTTTTATTAACGTTCATAATCTGTTTTTTATTAGTCGCCCAAGTTTCTCACTAATTTATCAACCGGCACTCAATGAACCTGAAATTGCAAATTTCTATATCTGACTATTCATGGGATCAAAGGAAAAAGAAGAAGAAGAATAATAATAATAATAATAATATAAAGGTCGTACATAGAGATAATATGTAAAGAGTTTTTACAACTCGGATATCTTTTAATACAAAATTAATTAATAAAAAATCTTATCTCCTATTCATAGGTAGAAATCAATATTATATCTCAAGATTAGTAGAATTAATAGAAGAAGACCAACTCCCTAGCAAGTGACAATAATGTTACGATCATTATATGTTACCAACAATGGTTCATATGGGTATCGAGAAAATGTAAACTCTAACAAAACACAGTAATTTTGCATAAACATACATACATACATGCGTATATACATATATGGCTTTTGCGTACAAAGAATATTTGCAAGGAAATCTGTAATAGTAGATTTTAAAAGGGCTTTAGATTTGAACTACACCCTTTGGGGGTTTATATCAATTAGACAATTAAAAGTTGATGCGTATAAAGGAGTGGAGAATTCTAAAGAGAGAGAGCGAGGAGGAAGAAATAAGATGACGTAGCAATTACTGCGCTCATGTGGTAATTTTATTAATTCTGATAAACTATATTAATATCTTTCATATCTTTTTCTGTTCTTACGGAATAAGTGAAACGAGTAAGTGTCGTATAAAGATAAGAAAGTAGCCATCTGCAGAGTTGTTGAGATTACTAGCGGGATTAAATTTGTATCGCCGATAAACAACTTTCATTTAAAAGCTTTTATCTGGTCGGTTCCTTTGATTTCTTTGTACTTCGATGAACGTATGTACGTATGTACGTACGTACGTATGTATGTATGTATGTATGTATGTATGTATGTATGTATGGAGACTGTGTCCATCTCTTTCTACAAGAATGGCATTTGACAAAGGACCCAGAAAAGGTGGAGGAAGAGGGGATGAAAAGAGCGTAAACGATTCGAGGCAGGCTCCGACCACGGACAACGAGATTCTCACTCGATCAATGAAGAAACTTCCAAACGAACGGGAATTATACTCTCTCTCTCTCTCTCTCTCTCCCCCCGCCGCCAGTGAGTTTCCTCTGAAACTTCATTTAATGAACTTTCGACTTACTTATACGGAATTTGAGAGAGAGAGAGAGAGAGAGAGAGAGAAAGAGTTGGGGTGACACGTCAGTAAGCGACTCTTGGAGCCAATCGCGTATAGCAGAAGCATTCGCGATGAATTCACGTAGTATCGTAGGAAAGTAAGAAAGTTGCTATATAGGGAGTTTGTCGGGATTAGTTGCGGGATAAAAATTTGTGCACCTTCGATCAAGAAGTTTTGTGATTTTTAATAATGAAATGAAACTTTGATTTTTTCATGTATTCATGTAAAGATTAATTGACGAATTTTGCAAAAGTAAAAGAAAAGAAATCGATCAGGGTGCATAGTAAAAGAGATGTATGGTATAACGAGAATCGTATAAAGAGAAAGCAGGGAAGAAAAAGAAGAGGATGGAAAAATGGAGAGGATAGTAAGGTACGGTGACGACCTAAAGAGAGCGTATAAAGAGACCGAACGATAAAGAGAATAAGGGTGGGAAGAGAGCCGATGGGGATGGAAGCGCGAGCGCGTAGGAGAAGGCTTTTCTTAAATTCGGAGAGAGTGTTAGCAGTGTCTACAGAACGGATCGAGCAGTAGCATTCGCAAAAGGGGAAGCTTCGACACAAAGGAGTCGTTTCGATCAACTCCGATTCCATAGATATTGTGTGCACGACGCGATTTACGTGCACTTTATTTCCCACAGGAATAGGGTCGATGCATTCATGAGAATACGCAATAATATTAATTTCTTTTTCTTTATATACGAAAAGTGGCACATATTTTATTGTTATTATGAAGAAAAAACTTATCGAAAGCTTGGAAATGTTGCGTTCACTAGGATAATAATAAGCGGCGATATCGGAATTTAAGTTAAATTTAAATTTTAAATTAAATAATGTAGATATTAGGACGATTAAATTCGTTCAACCTCGTCATTTTCTTTCTTTTTCTTTTCGTTCATTCAATGACGGTTAATTCGTTGGTCGATTAGAAAAGTTCCCGTTCTCGAGTTTCCAGACTACCGCGTCCGAATTAATTTCAAAGGGATTCCCGTAAATATCAGCATAATTAACCCGCACCGACCTAATTCTCGCATCTAGACGAAATCGCTGGCTCGAATCCGTGGGAAAAGGAAAAGAAAAAAAAAAAAAGAAAGAAAAAGAAAGAACAGGGCAAGAAGAGAGAGAAGAGAAAAAAAAAGAAAAAAAAAAGAAGAGACAGGTGCTCAAGAAATTGGAATGGACGAAGGAGGATGATGCATACGTCGTCGTTTTGGTAATCTTGAAATTCGCGCACGGTAGCGATCGATTTTACCGACCGATGATAAAAACGTTGCTTTTCTTTTTTTACCTATGCGTTTGGCTCTCTTAAAGGTGAATCGCTTCTTTTTTCTCCGGGCTAATTCTTTTTCTTTTTTTCTTCGGTTCGTGAGAAAGCAAATGACCACCGATCGAACGACAATCGTTAGAAACTCGAAGAACGAGGGAGTTCTTTTTTTTCAATTCCTTGACGGATACGGACGACGAATTAAGTTTAGGGCGAAATTAAGGTCATGGGATAGAGTAGTCACAGATAAGGATAAGGATATTCCCTGATCGAGGAGCCTCGTTATCTATCGTCCGTCCTCTCTCTCTCTCTCTCTCTCTCTCTCTCTCTCTGTCCAACCACTCTGAGAAGACAAAAGCATGATCCCCTCACTCTCATTATACCTTTATACCAGGGTAAGTAAAAAAAGGAAAAAATGACGCGAGTAAAACAATTAGAATTGATAAGATAAAAGCTTGAAAAAGGAAGTGAGATGGAGGAGAAATTTTGAGTGTGGGTGAATCCAAGTGAGAAAAGTGATCGTTTTTCGAGACGTAGTCGTACCTCGAACCGATAATACATAGAGATAGCGTACGTATAGGTGGTACATCGGATATATCGATTGGGTCGAAAGAGTATTCCGAAAAAAAAAAAAAAAGCATCCTCGTGTCGCTGGTTGGTTTGCTCGGTGGTTCGTTGGTACGAGCGCCAAAAGTAATAGGAGGCAGAAACAGACGAGGTCTGTCATTTTTACGCATCGTCGTTTCCAACCGACCGAAATACGTCACGTTGCGTTTCTCCGACGTTTCGAGGCTACCGCGGGAACAACAAAAAAAGAAAGAAAAAAAAAAAACAAAACAAAACAAAAAGCCTCCAAAAAAAGGAGAGCTAGCAGAAAAAAGGATAGGAACGAGCGTGCAGAGCGGGAAGAGCGGGAGGGAAAAGGTTGTGACGTTGATAGTCGCGGGAAACGCGAAAAACGTGAAATACAGAAAATTTACCCGGTAAACGAATCACCCCACTGGCGAAAATACGAGGAGTTTCTCCGCCCCTCTGCTGCCGTTCCAACGATCCTTCGAAAAATTTCCGTATTTCCTCTCTCTCTCTCTCTCTCTCTCTCTCTCTCTCTGTCTCATTTTTATTCGTGCGTTGCGTTTAACAAGGAACAATGTAGGAGATTGGGAAAAATCTTTGCAAGGTTCTTTCTTGTCCTTTTTCCCCCCGTACTCCATTCCCGACGATCTAATGCGTCATTCTAATTAGCACGTTAACTCGTGGATGATGAAAATTTCGAGTTTAGCTTACGAGCTCGTGGTACCATACGTACACGAGCCGGCCCTGTTTAACGGCAATGGCGGCGGAATAATAAGAAAACGAGTGTCGTTTGAAATAAGGAAGGGAAAAGAGAGCGAGTTCTTTTTTGTTTTCTTTTTTTTTTTTCTTTTTTTTTTTTTATTATTAACGCTTTAGAGGAGAAAAGGGAAAGAAAAGAGACACTTTTCCGAGAGTAGAAGAATATCGTCTTTATTTCCCTGGTGTGCGACGACACGGTGCTAACAAACGGTTAAATTAGTGGTGCTAAAAAGCGTAAGAGCGTGACATCGATTTCTATTCGGCCAATTAAACGCGCCATCGTTTCTTTCATCTCTCTCCTATCTCTCTCTCTCTCTCTCTCTGGTTTTTCTCTGGAAAAAGTTGGCTGGTCGATTAAGTAGCCGCGACAAAATACGTAATGCGGAAAAGTGAGTCGAGATGTCTAGTGACCCGAACGACGATATATCACCTTGAGCTTGTGCAACGAGAATTGGGAGAGTGTGGGTGGGGGATAGAAAAAGCATCGGGACGTTATTTTAATTACGTCGAACGAAGAAAAAAGTCGGTAGAATGACTTTTGCACAGCAGAGCCCGTTACTGACTCGGCGGCAATCGTCGAAGAAAAAGAAAAAAAGGGGTGCTTGAGGCGCGTTATTATATGCGGCCAAATTGTGAGAGAACGTATTCTACAAGTAGAAATGAAAGAACAGAAAAAAAAAAAAGAAAAAAGAAGAGAAAGTTCGAAAGGCTTTAGAATCATCGCAGGTAAGAAGCAGAATCTTACTTTTCATTGAGAATAAATATAAAGGTGTATTTATCGATATCGATAATTGGCGAAATATTGTCGAATATATATCGATAAAGATATATCGATACAAGATCGAACGTTTATCGATATGGATAATAATTATCGATCGGAACGACGTAGGATAGGAAAATACTTACTTATCGACGGGTACAAAATGAAAAAGTAATTGTGTATATCATCGGTAGAAATTGAACGTGCCTTGAATTTCTCACAGAATCTCTCTCTCTCTCTCTCTCTCTAATAAAGTTAAGAGTTAGGCGAGGAAGGAGTTGCAAGAGTTGGCCCTGCGGAATATTTCGTAAGGTTCTTTAAACTCTTTGAGACTTTGACAAGGAGCGTAGCTTTTGAGGTTATCTAGACCGGAAACGCGTCCTCATCCTCCTCGTTCTCCTCGGCATTGCCAGGGCTGCTGTTTTCCCTCCTGCGTTGGGAGTAACCGCGTTGCACGGTTCGTAGGAAAAAAGTGAGAATTAAGACGCACGAGGGTTGCACCGCCGCGGGCTTCTTGCGAGAACTTTACGTAGCGGTAATCGTAGCTCGTTGCATTATAAAAGATATAAGGTAAAGTAAAAGGAACGCCTTTTCTTTTCTTTTCTTTTCTTTTCTTTTCTTTTCTTTTTTTACCCTTAAAGTAAATCGTACCGAACGGACGATTATTTTTCGTATAAAACTTTGAAACTTTTGTCGTTGAGCGCGAATCCAGTTTGTATTAGTATAAGAATAAGTGTCTCTATTATAATTACGTAATTGAAATTCGCATTAGACGCGAAGAAAGTCTGTCTGCGGTCATGGTCATGCGTTAATAGATTTGGTGGTACTCGAATTGATTTCGTTCGATCGGTATGCCACGTAAATTGAAGCACTTAACTTAAGGGCTTTCTCTTCTTCGAGTACCCTTAGGAGGATCTAAATGGTATCCTTTTTGCTTGACGTCGATTCAAATTTTCTATGTATGTCTTCATCGGCTTTTCTATTTTATTTAATTATTTTTAATATCGAATCGGTTCTCGTTACGGGAAAAACTTTCTAGAGAAAATATTATTTATATATATCGATATAGAAAAGCACGAGAAGAATAATTCGGATAATACCTACCAGGAAAGAATTTTCTCGAATCCGTCGTAGTCTCGAGAGCCAAATTCGCCGGAAGGAAAGTTCCGGAAACGGAAGTTCCGTCGATGGAAAACCAGATGCGACTCAGATAAAAAAACCGAGATAGCCCGGTCTCAGAGACGTTTCCATTTCGCCATCCTGTGATATCAAACGCTCGCGATATGAATTGTTCCTTGATAATATCTTTTATCGTCGTTCGCAAATATTCTTCTTCCCTGAAATCACAAAAATTTATTTACTCGACTGGTAACTTTATTATCGAATAAATATAGATCCTTTCTTTTTCTCTTCTTTTTCCTTTCGATCAGATTCGTCGAAAGATTCGTGGATAAAGAAATTCACGGCAAGGGAATTTATTAAATCGGAATGCGATTCTTATCTCGAAAGACTTTCGACTCAAAGTGTAATTTCTTTTTCTTTTTTTTTTCCACGATATAAAAACTCCCTTGTCACAAATTTTCATTCCCATGCTTGCAAACGTTTGCTTCTCGCAACGACAAGTTTCCTAGCTTTTGAGTTGGAACGAGTTTTATAATCTGTCCGTTTCTCTCTCGCTCTCTTCGCGGGTAAAGGGATACTGTGTTGCTTTTCAATGAGTGAGAGAGAGAGAGAGAGAGAGAGAGAGAGAAGAAAGTTATTTCCTTCTAAAGATTTATCCTTACTCGAGGAACCGTTAGCTGTTGCCGTCTAATTCCTAACTTTGTTAATCCTCTCTCTCTCTCTCTCTCTCTCTCCCCACCCCACCCCATCACTATCTCTCTTTCTCGTAATTTAATTTTCGATTAAACTTACGCTCGATCTTCGTTCGGTTTACCACCACGTAGATTAAAGTCCTCTAAAGAACGAGAGGGAGAGAAATGGATGAGGAAGGAAAATGGTTCAGAGATTTTTACAAGGGACGTTATAATAAAGTGTTCGGTGGTTAAAGCGAAATTTAACTGGAAACTAATGACGAACTAGAGGTGTCTTATCTAGATGAGATAGGACGCCTAGCTGTGTTTGCGTTTGTACTTGCGTGCGCAAAGGGGCTGGGTTGCGTTTGGAGCGATAGAGAGAGAAGTTGGATGCGTGGAAGAAAGCTTGCAATTTTCATAGTTAGATAACACTTGAACGAACCAGACAGAAACTCTCGCAAAAGATAACGAAAAGTCTCTCTCTCTCTCTGTTATTTTTTAAATTGTTTCTTCGGTCTCCTAGAATCTTCGAAGGGAAGGATCTTGTTCGTAGTAAACTTTGAGAAATTGCGATCCTTCGTTTTCTTTTTTCTTGTAATCTTTTTCTTTCTGAAAACTTCAACTTTTCGTAATCCATTTAAAAATCGATATAGAATATAATACGAATCACCGATCGACTAAACGTTGTCGTTAGCATTCCTTGTCGATAGATAGAAGAGATTTATCGAAGAATTAATGAAAAACATTTGTATTTATTTCGAAAGCTCCTACTAATAAGGGAATATAATATATGCATAAATTGTAAATAAATGAGGGTCAAACGAACCTTTTCCACGGGTAGGCCGAGGGAAAACGAGAAAGAGAGAGAGAGAGAGAGAGAGAGAGAGAGAGAGAGAGAGAGAGAGAGAAAAGAAAAAGAAAGGATCCCTGTCGTTTGCAAGGATTGTCTCTAGAGAAATATCCTAACTCTCACCTTGTCTTCGATCTCGCGATAATGAGCTTCGTTCGTGGTAGGATTGAAAGGATATCCCTGAATGGATTTGACACAGCGTACTATAGTCTATAGAGCCCAACTTCCCGTGGGATAGACGTTACCAAGGTCGTCATCGGGCGTATCCCAATCGAGATCAAGATGAACGTCGTCGAACGCAAATCCAAGGTGATATTCCTCGATCACCGGATCGAATAGAACGGCAAATACGTCGATGGTGTTGGATTCGGGATCAGAGTCGCGTACATGCCGATCGACGAATCCAGGATTTCGCGAAATCAGTCCGAATCCGGGCCATCTTTCAACTTGGATTCTCGAGTGATAGACGATTTTCTTTGATTTATTAAAAACATCCTTCGTTAGATACTTTTTACAGTTTTTAACAAAGACTCGAACTCATCTTTTATTCTATTTTCACGCTCTTTTTCTTTTTTCTATTTTACGAGTATCCTTTAGTCGTCGGTAGATTTTATTTTTGATTTTATTTTTGGTTAACACGGATCGCAGTTATAACCTATTTTTTCTTTTTTTCTCTTCGCAATGTTCATTTTGGATTTCTTGCTATCTATAACATATATTTTTCGTCTCTCTCTCTCTCTCTCTCAAGTCTCTTTCGCAACTACGTTCGTACTGCTTTCACACACAGAACTTTCACACACTATTCGTATCTCTTTCTTTCCCGCTTATTTTCATATTCCTACCATCTCTCTTGTACACTCTATCCCTTCCCCTTTCTCCCTCTCTTTTCTTTCTTTTTCTCACTCGCCGAGGAGAATCCCTCGGAGCGTCGGGTTTTAATTACACATTTTTTTTGCACACCCATCTTCTAGCCCTTTTCTCTCTCTCTCTCTCTCTCTCTCTCGCTCTCGCTCTCGCTCGACATTCGCTAGGAGAGGGTTCTACACGACTATGGCTATGACGACGACGAATATTCTAAATTTGGAGGGTGGCTACAGGCCTCTGGCTCCGACATCCCCATCTCAACGTCGAGCCGTCAGGAAATTCGCCTTTTCCTCGCTAACTCTCTCTCTCTCTCTCTCTTTCCCTCTCTAAATTATTCGACCGTTTGCTACCTATTTCCTTCTCTCCCTCTTCTTTTTAAATGTCTCTACAAATTTGCCTTTTCGAATCGAACGAAAAATTTTCTGTTTAAAAATGAACGTTGACGAATATAAAATAGAATATAAAATAGATAGCTTTTTATTGTTCTTTTTGATAAAAAAGGAAAAGTAAAGGAAAAAGCAAATATTTGAAGTAGGTATTTAACCGGAGGTTACCGAGACCTTCTACGAGTCTCGGATCGTCTGGGCAAGTTTGTTCGGAGCGTCGAAATAGGCGGAAAATCCATTTTTTTGCAAGAGCTATCAGAAATATTCGACGCGACGTGGCAGTCGAATAGCAGTCACTTTGCAGTCGAACAAAATGAAATGACTTTATATATATCCTACGTGTCTATCTCTCAGCACACACACACACACACACATACACATATATATATATATATATTTTTTTTTTTTTTCTTTCATCGACGAGTATCAACGCGAGCGAGCACGGTGATATACGTGCTTTTCAATCTTCAATGAACCTAGGGTTTGAGGTAGTTCTAGTCACCGTTTTCTATCCAATTTCGTTACTAATGGACGATACGAAAAATCGTTAAGCAAAAATCCGGAGAAAAAGGATTAGTTTTAGAAACTTTTTCGTTATGATACTATCGAAAGAATATTACCGGAGAGCGTTTTCTATCAAATCTCAATGGTACTTTGACGAAAAGTCATTAAGAAAAAAAAAAAAAAGAAAAAAAAGAAAAACTGAACCTCACGAGACTTCATATTTTTTCCAATTTTTTTTTTTTCAATTTTCTCTCTCTCTCTCTCTCTCTCTCTCTCTCTCTCTGCGCGCTTATTCCTCCAACGTCAAGGAGAATCTCTGGCATCGTTCTTGCATAATCCCAAAGGGGAATTCGCCGAAGCTCGCTGGCTGCTTCGGCCTCTCCTCGTCGAAATCATCGATTACGCATTCGTTTTCACGAGGATAGAAAAAAAAGGGGCCGAGGGAACGTCGTGAAAGAGGAGTGGAATCGGGTGGAGAGACGTAAAGAATGGAGTAGGAAGAAGAGGACGCGTATGCGGTCAATTTATTTCATAGGGAAAACAGGAAAAATAATAAAGCAAAAGAAAAGGATGAAGAAGAAGAAGGAAAAATATCTGAAAAACAACCTTTCCATGTATAATATATATATACGTGTGCGCGCGTGGATGCATACACCCCACTTTCCTATCTCTTCAGAAATTGTCTTCACCTGAGAAAATAAAGGGATAGAAGAAATGAAATCCTCTCGTTCTCTATCGATCTATCTAACCTCGCGAGGATCATCGTCTTTCGTACAGATATATATGTATACACACACACACACACACACACACACACATATATATATATATATATATATTGGTAATATTCGTAAAATTTCATTCGCAAAACTCGTATCAAGAAATCCGACCAAAAGCAATTTCCATAAATTTTACTCCGATAACGAAAGAATAATACAAAAATGGGCGACAGAAGGCGGGCGCGGCAGTGACAAAACAGGAGACAAAAGAGGAGACAAAACAGGAGGAGCGATCGAAAATGCGCGTCTCTCGAATGTTGCTTTTTCGATTCTCGACTAAGAGCTATCGACGTCTTTGGACAGCGGAGATGCGAGAGTTAGAACGTGGATAAGTTCGTATTAAATAAAATAGGATATAATCGTTTATTTATCGACGACGTTCGACTATAAGTCGAACACCGTCGTTTGTAGCGTACGCGCGTTGTTGTTAGGGGGGGTATTCGATCGATCGCAAAGAATTTGAGCGAGATAGAGAAGATTTGTCGAGTAGAGGAGGGGCGGGCGAGGAGGAAGGTTGGGTACGCTTACCCTGTCAAATATTACGTTGGACCTGTCTATCCCCCTTTTTCGTACGGTCTACCGATTCGAAATTAATCCGCTCCCGAACATCCCCGACGACAAATTATCGAGTTTATAGCTATCGGCACGCGAAAGCGAACACCAACATGGACGTTATCAGAATGCGCAAGTATTATCGTTACGATGCTTTTGGATTCGATAAGATGGTCAGTCGACGTATTACGTAGAAAAGAATGAAAAGATAATGAAAAAGACAGGAGGTTATGTCGGGGAAACTTTGTTTTTGGAAAGCTTTCGTTTCATTGCATTGCATTGCATTGCATTGCATTGCATTGGATTGCGTTGCATCCTATGATGGATAGTTTTAATCGGATAATGGGATACCAATGGAAGCTTTGGGAATTTTGGAAAATTTTAAAAGGAACATCGCCTTTTTTTCTTTTTGTTTTTCTTTTTTTTTCTTTTTTTGGACAAAAAACAACTTTTTTCGACCATGTATTTTACCAGTTTCTCCTTTTATTGATTGATTTTTAATAATTTTTTGTTTTCTCCTCTGGTACCCATTTCCTACTACGTATTCCCCGTGTACATATATACATATATGAATAAATTTATAGGAGTGGTAGTAAACGGACAGAGAGAGGGTACGATTTTGATATTCATATTGTAATTTATACTGTATAAAACGAATAGAACGCAACGTGTCCGTCCACGATCGTCCTCCTCCTTTTTACGATTTACAATAAACTAGCGCGTATGAATTTACAGACGACACAAGCTCGGACACGATCTATCGACGTTCAATTTATATCCGAACCATCCGCCGCTCTGTCTCTCTATCGGTCTTCGCTTTAAACATTTTACACGCAAATTCCTTTCTACGTTTCGTGTAACATAATACGCGACGTACACAATCTACTTATTATACTCTCTAAGAGAGAGAGAGATATATATATATATATATATATACATATATCTTTACGGAAATATATTCCCTTTTTTTATGTTTGTAAAACGTAACTCTTTCATCCTTTCTTTTTCCCTTTTTTGAAAATATTTCCATTGATATAAAATCAAAAAATATTTTTAAATTCCAACTTTTGCGCTAACCTATTCAATAATTCTCTGCCTCTGTTATATACTTTTTGTTATTTTCAAAAACGAAATTTCCAAGCAAAGACAAGCCTTTTCTCTTACTACCCTAATCGTGTATCATTTTATTACAGTTTTATGGATTACTCGTTGCCGAAAACGACTTGAGAACATTTCTAAACCTCGGTCTTTATTCCGGTCCAATCACAATTTTCATTTCCATACTCCTCGTCGTTCTAATTTCCTTTACGTTTGCGGTGAGTAAAAAAGCAAATAAAAGATTAAAACGCTCGTTCGAATCTTTAGACGGAAGAAGGTATCACTTGAAAATCAATAATATGCACACATTTATATATACGCATATGTGCAGGATGGAGGCCAAAAAGTGTTTCTAGGTGAATTTAAAAATCAATTTCTCTTTTTCGAGACTTTTTATAGGCTTTTAGTTTTGAACTTGTAGTTTTACAATTTCAACAAAAAAAATTCACTAACCCTGTATGTACATATTATATATAAAAATGAAATAAATAACTGGTTTGTTTTTTCGAGAGAGAGAGAGAGAGAGAGAGAGAGAGAAAGAGAGGTAGTAGCCATCGTAATCGAGAAATCGCAATTTCGTCGTTTCGCGTTATTCCATCGGAGTAACAATCAAAGATGGCGCATACCGAATTACGAACTGTCCCATTTGAATTCGACGTTTATTAATTTTATTTTTATTTCTTTTTATTTTTTTTATAAAAATACGACAACGTAGACACACACGACAACAACAACAACTTTTCCAATATCAAAATTTATTTCAGAGCTCGTCTGTGTTGACCGCGAACGAAAGAGTCCTCGGGGAATCTCGAAACGATATCGAGAAGGTAACGAAATTTTGTATGTGCGTGTGAGAGAGAGAGGGGTGGGGGGAGAGGGATCAAGGAACGAAGCGACGGACGTGTGTCACCTTTCGATAATTGTTCATAATTTATGATTTAGCGGATACCACGTAAAGAGAGTGTTATTGGCCTTCGACCTGCCTACAAGTGCATTCACAAACATGTAAGTCCATATTATGTGTTAAAAAATCCTTTAAAAATACATTCATTTCATTATTATTATTTTTTTTTTTCTTTTATTTATTGTTTGCCTCTCTACTTTTTTTTTTTTTTTTTTTTTTTTTTGAAGAACAATGTTTCGCCCAAACGAATGTTACATCGTTTCGTGATTTTCATTTTTATTTAACAACTTTAACTCGTTTAAATATCGTTTTTCGTTGTTATTATTTTAATACACTTCCCGCACCACGTTTTTTTTTTTCTTTTTTTTTTTTTTTTGAACAATGGCATCAATAGTTTATTGATTTCCAGTTGCAACAAACGGAGGTCTTTCAAAGGAAAACGAAGAAATTGGCAAGTATAAATTTGCTTTAATAAAACTAAAAAAAAAAAAATTTCATTCGTTCATTCATTTATTTATTTGATTTTATTATTCTTTTTCATACTAACCATCGACAGTTACGTAAGGAGCTGCTGGAGGTGGAGATAATGAACAGCAAAATAACGTGCCTTGAGAAATTATTAAGACCTGAAGTGAGTCAACGAGATGAATTGCTATCGAGGAATAACAAATGGGAAGAACTTCTTTCTTCGTAGATAAAAGAGACGATTTCAATTGAATGAGATAGAAACAACGGAGTCATTATTTTGACTCTCGTAGTCTTAAGAAATTCTCTCTCTCTCTCTCTCTCATTCATTCACTCATTGCAAAGCATTCATAATTAGCCCGTTCTTTCAACTGCAATATAAACGGTAATCTTGTTTTCTTGTTGTTTTTTCTTGTTGAGAGAGTAAGAAAAAACTAGTTTGAAATTGTTGAAGTTATGATCCACCATTCGAGTTCAAAAAGAAAAACAAAATAATTTCGAAAAAGAAGAAAATTTTGGAGAATTATGAATAGGTCACGTGGCAGATTTCGAAGGAGCATGGATCCGAACGAACGAAATTAGATATACCGCGCGGTTAGTAGCAGCAGCAGCAGCAGCAGCAGCAGCAGCAATACGTTGGCGTCGATCGAGCCACGGAAAGACACGTCCTAATCCAGACTCCCCACCGACATTCAGCACCCCTTCCACAAGTCCCACCAAGCCGGGTCGATGCGCTTTTTCCATGCGTACGAAGGGATAAAATGCTAAAGGGGAGCGAGCTTTCATCTTCGGCGATTGTAGGAAGGTGAAGAGGTGCGTTTTAAACGCACGTTAATCGGTCGAGAAACGAGAAAATCTTTTAACTTTCTCCTTGAAAGAGGGAATGAAAGAGGAGAGAGAGAGAGAGAGAGAGAGAAAGAGAGAGAAATTGCGTTGAAAAGAAAAAATCAATTTGTACTTCCTCGTATAATATTTTTGTTTTGCATTGGAGAGACTTGGGCCAAGGAGCGTGGTAATAAAAAATTAATAGTCAACGTATTTGTTATTTCTCAGGAACAATGCGAATGGCGACAAAGCAGGTCACCCAGGATTTACTATCGTGCGATCGGTGTTACGTCGAAATAATATTGCAACGATCGAAAATAAAAAAAAAAATTTAATGGAAAAAAGAAAAACAGGAAATAGCATCGTCTATCTGGTCGCTTTTAAACAATGAAATTGCAAACAGCACTTGGTAATATCTACATATCTGATACTACTACTACTACTACTACTACTACTACTACTAGAGCAACGAACTTTCCCGTTAACTAGTCATATCTACATGCATAATTCATTTTACACACAGGTGACGTATGCAATAATAGAAACAATAGAGAGAACGACGACGCTCGGTTTACAACAATAACCCCAGTTCACTCGTGGTTAAGGATTCCACTTGCTACCATAAATCTCTGACCGGTTTATCATCCTTCTGGATGTATCAAAAAAAAAAAAAAAAAAAAAAAAAAAAAAAAAAAAAAAAAAAAAAAGAAAAATATATATATATATATTTATTTTTTCTTGAAAAAAATTGAGATTTTTCAGATTGTCGCGCTGAAAAGCGCAGGGAAAGATCGAGCACCGCTCCAAAAATTGATAAAAATGAATAAATAAATAAAAAAATTGTTACAAATTTCATTTGAAAAATAATATTCGAGCGAAAAGATTCGAGTAAACTAACCTAACCATAGAAAAAATATTTTCATTTCACGTAGAAAATCGACATATCTTTGACGATCGAAGAAAACAGCGAGCTCCCTCAAACGTGTTCCAAACCAAATACGTGCTGGCGTGAGCCAACTTTGCGGAAAAATATCTTCCAACCCGGTGAGAATAAATTTTCGAGAAGAAGAAGAAGAAGAAGAAGGAGAAAAAAAAAGAAAGAATGAAGGGAGGTAAAAAAGCTTGAATTTTTGAGAGGTCGAGGGCATAGGACAGTCGTTTTCTTCTCAGAAATTTGAAAGAAATGAGAAGATTTTGGCAAAGTTAGACGCATGCTTTGACTCTCTTTCCGAATCCCATCATCCCATGTATATGTTAGCGAACCTCTCTCTCTCTGCAAATTTGTATGTGCCTCTGCCCTGCTGCGCTGCGTTAGCATGTCGCTGCATTGCTTTACGTGCCATCGAGTTGGTGTGCGTTAGCACGTATATTAGGAAACTGTACGTCCTCTGCAGAGCTAGCTCTCCACGTGTCTCAGAGTTGGTGTGAGTTATTTTGCGTTAGATCTCACGCGTCAGTGTGAGTGTTAGCGACCCCACGTGTAAGTATCGGTGGTAACGATATCTGAGCTGGTTATTCGTGGAACGTAGATGTCGCCAGGTGCGGTGTCCCCATACCGTTTACTCTCCCCGGTGCCTATTTCCATTCACCTCCCACCTCATCCCGTTCGATGTAACAGCCCACCCTTCGGGCAGCCAGGGCCGACTCAGAAATTGAACCACGGCTACGTGGTGTACGAGAACAGGGTCTTTGCTCTCGTTTAATATTTCAAGCAGTCCATTGGCTGCCTTGAGCATCGACATGCGCACCCCCTCTGCACCGCTTCCCTTCTATCCCCTATCCCTTCTTTCTTTTCAATACACATACACATCTGATACATACATACATACATACGTATGTGTGTATATATATATATATATGTATATACATATTGGATAGAAAGATATCTATCTATCCATCTCACTCTTACACATCGATGTACCTTTATATATCTATACAGAGGTATAGAAAGAGACGGCTCGTTACATTGAAATCCGTAGGATAATCTAGCAGGTCTCTTCGTATCGATGCTAGACGTTGAAAAATCGATATCATTCCGTTTCTCTCTAGTTCTCTCTCTCTCGCTCTCTCTCTTTCTCTCCAGCTCTTTCTCTCGACGTGGTTAGCTTGTTTACTCGAGTATCGATTCTACCGGTGCCAAATAGCACGCGGAAAAGTCCAGGAAAGTATCTCGCGAGAAAATACTCTGTTATCGGCGTCGGTTTCAATTCTGTTCTGTGATCTAGATTTTTTCATCTCTTTTTTCCTCTCTCTCTCTCTCCGTCCGTCGGTCCGTCTACTTGTCTCTATCATGTAGGCCGGACCAAAAGTTCCTAGACAATTAGAAAAATTTTGGTATATTAAATGTAATAAAAAATTAAATATTGGCAAATCTAATAATTCGGATAGATGGACGTAATCTAAACGCGTTTGAAGAGACTTGGTCGAACGAGGCTTGGCTGATTATCCATACGCGCCATTTTCATCGTATATACGTATATAGATGGATAGATAGATGGATAAATGGATAGAGGAGATGAGAGATGGGAGGGAAGGGGGTTGAACGATTTAACTTTTACGAGTCGTATCGGCGGAATCGAGCTCGCTAAGTCGTGCGAAAATACCGGTTGCTCCGGACATGCCGATAGGATTCCAAGAAATCGATTGCATACCTCACTGCACTAACTTTCACATGCGTTTCTCTCTGCAGTTGTGTGTATTAGCAGGATTGTAGTAGTCGTTACATTGTTTATGCGCACGTTAGTCACGTTACGTGATTAATTTTTTTAGAAAAAAATCTTGTCAGTTTTCAGATTATTTATCTATTTCTTATTAACATTATAGTTATTTGTAATTGGCATTTTTGTAATTAGTGTGTGTATATATATATATATATACACACACACGCACACATATATATATATATTTTATTGATATTTTCATGGAACGTATGCAAGTACGTGTGTGCGTGGGTGGGTGGATATGAGATGGCCGACAAGCTTCTGAAAAATACCCTCCAAGCGTTACAACCCTCACCACGTAGCTTCTCTTCCCCCCTTTCTCTCTCTCTCTCTCTCTCTCTCTCTCTCTCACTTCGAAAGAAGGGAGAGAGATCGAAACGAATGGGCCACACGTGTGCCACGTTCTCCCCTTTTTTCCCCGTTTTCCTTCCTTCCTTTCTTTCTTCTTTTCTTTCGAACACATCCCCCAAGAGCCAAGCCATTTCGTCGATTTCCCGGAACTCGCAAAAGACAGTCAAACTCATGAAACGACACCCACGAGCACATGTGATTTACACTCCTGCTAGGGGACCCCTTTCACCGACATTTTTTTTTTATTCGTGTTTTTTAGAAGGTGGGGAACGGACCTGTCTACGAATATTATAATATATCTACTAGATCGACCGATAAAAGTGTTCCTATAGGTGATTTTAAATATCAATTACAAGCTTTTCCGAGGCTTTGAATAATTCCATGTTCGTAAAACATTTTTGGTCCGAGGGATCTTTTATAATTATTTCCAGGCTTGTACACTTTGTACGATAAAATTTCAAGTAAAACTTTGAAACGACAAAGGTGGACTTACGATGCATCGAGCGATGCAACGGAAGATACATGAGTTAGAGCGAAGAGAATTGGGGCCTGGGGATAGGGACATGTTGAAGGGGGTGGGTTAAAAAGGGGTTGAAAAGAACTAGACGTAGGTTGGTGACTCGAATATAAAGAGAAGCATTGAACTGGCATTGAATTCGATGAATATGCAATACCTTGGGATAGTATGGAATTGAAAAAATATCGAAGAGAGAGATAAGGCGAGATGTCCTGTTTAATGGGAAATGTACGTATGTAGGTATGTGCGAGCATAGATATGTACATGCATATAGCATAGAGACGATCGAGAAATGTCAGAGGAATAGAATTATTCCACTCAAATTTTTACGCGAATCTAGTTATGTTCTTTCTTTCTTTCTTTTTTTCTTTTTTTTGTTTCTGATGAAAACGAAAATGCCTTTTACTAACGAGACCGATTGTTCGACGCTGTCGCCATCTTTCTTTTTATTTCCCACTCCTCGAAATATATACGGAAGATATTTGCTTAAAGCCTTGACAACGCTTTGACGAATACAAAAACGGTTTATACAATTTCCATAATTAATTCATTCTTCTCGTCGTATTAATAACAGGACCGTTGGAATTTACGGTCGAGGTCAATTGGGAATACGACGCGAGTATCTTTATGTTCTCTCTTTTCTAACGGGTGTCTCACGGCGGACTTGCCATGAGAACAATTCGTTGCATATGTAGATCCTTTTCTTTTTTTTTTTTTTTTTTTTTCCCTCAAAAAGGAGTAACCGATTTTTAATATTAGCTAGAAACTTTTGGCCGATTCCGTACAATAAATCGAAAAGAAGAAAATGCTTGAAAGAACCTGTCGAAGGAAACATCGGTTAAAATTTCGAATTCCTCTCGTCGATTTACGAGGATGTTTCCAAAGACGTGGATAAATCGTTTCGGCCATCCTGCCCTTCCCACTCCTGCGAAACTAGGGGTGGAGGAGGAGGAGGAGGAGGAGGAGGAGGAGTGGGGGATAAAAGTGCAGCTAAACCGCGACAAGAGAGCGCATATGAGTCTCGAATTCGTAAGGTGCAGTGTGTGCGCTCGAAAGATAGGGCCGTAGTGGTAATGGTAACGCTGGTTAGGGTAGGGATGGTGGTGGCGGTGGTAGTGCGGGCTAGGGGTAGGTAGGTAGGTAGGTAGGTAGGTAACTCCGGAGGTTTGAAAGTTTCGCGTGATAAGTGGCAAATGATTTATTCGACTCACGGCTCGCGCCAGCGAGCGGTACAAATTACGTAGCGCGTTCAGAAAACCTTAGCGAGACGTGACAGTAATTCATACTTCTGAATTAGTGCTGCCAGTTTCCGTCGTTTTTCGAAACGTTCAAGATGGAAAGGGTAAAGGGTGGGGTTGGTCAGGAGGTTGGAGGTAAAGGTGTTACGTCGAACTTGCCTCGACTCGGACGAACTTTTCCGTTCTCATTTCGAAACGTTTCTAACCTGACATCCCGGAGATTTTTCTTCGGGAAATTAGCCTGAGATCGTTCAGGGTCGGGTGGGCCGAAAGGGAGCGAGAGAAGAAATAAAAAGAAATGTTTCTTCTTCTTCTCAGAGGTGGTATTACATGTACCTAAGTCATAAAAATCTGAATAGTAAAATTGTAAGGCAAAGATGTGCATCCCTTTTCCTGATTTTTCGTTGAAATTTTCAAATGCATCGCATCCCCGAGAAATGTGAAAACATGTATTATTAAATCTGATGTGTATGTGCGCGTGTATACGCGATAGAAAGCTAGGTTAAGAGAACGATAGCTATTTGGAATAAAAATTTGTCGAGAATTTCGAAAATGTCGAATCTACGTAATTTCATTTTGAGCAAAGACCTTACATGTTTGTTTTTATCTATGGAATGAGCCAAAAGTAAAACTATAAATTCAGTACTTTGTCAACAGCATGAAGAAAGAAAAAAAATTAGTCAGCTTTTAACCTATGCAAATTGTACATGCTTATTGAAAAAAGAAAAGTCTACAAAAATGTGGATTCGATTTCTATTCGCGAGAGAGAGAGAGAGAGAGATCCTTTCGTTATAACGATAGCGAGTTTGGTCGGACGTAAGTGGAAAAAGAGAGAGAGAGTCTCGTTAAGTCGAGTTGAAGTACAGGTAGTCGACTGCAGCTCCGATTATTTTCGGCTTGCTCGTGAAAAAAATTCGTTAACTCGCGAAATTGCGTCCTCCTTCGCAAACGTCGAGCCATACGAATATTCGTTCGAATATTTCTCGAAGATATAGAGAAAGTCGACTTTTTCGTTAATGACTCT